CAAGGGCTTTATGGCACGCGATCCAATTGGCCAAATTGCGACGTGCTCCCTACACCCCGACCTGGACCCATATTTTATCTGCTCTGACCCGGGAGCGGCTTACCGGGTATTATGGCCCAAGAAGCCGAAGTCTTCAGCGCATACTGGCATGGCACCAGGCTCTCAGAGCATTAAGCTGGATGCGACAGCGTGATGTTGAACTTGGCGAAGAAGGATTCCGCATTTTATGTGTGGCGTTCACAAAAGCCATTGACGCTGCCCTTAAACACCCTGGCACTGCCGAACAAAGTTTTGTACTGATTCATAAAGCTCGCATTCGTCGTCTCAAGGCCACAAACGAAGGCGATGACGAGGTTGACGCTTTGATGCAGCACGCGCTGCAGGTTTTGAAACATCAGTTTGACCATCTTGTTCTCCCAGCCTCAAAAACCTCGGAGCATGCGGAGCGAAGTGTCTTTGCGGGAGAGATCACCTCCGAAACACAACTCAACGTTCCCTCGATGCTACAAATACCATCACCTGCCACGCTACATGCCTTTGTTCGGGCTTTGGGGTCTGTAGGGGATGACGAAGGGTTGTTACATCTGCTGCACTGGATGAGTCGGTCAGCTGATCTATTGAAAGAAGCTGCCGACGAACATGCAAACGGAGACAAAATGATGCGTCGAACCCTTGTGGCGATCAGAGTGTTTTTGGAAAGACGACAGCAACGGATTGACACACGGGTACCATCGGACCTGATCGTGGAGGCATACGACCTTATCAGCCGGACAGGCTGGGACTGGCCGAGTGATGCGGAGGTTACAGAATATTGTCAGTGACTGTGTATATAATATTGTAGTTTTAGAGGACTTTTTGTCAATGTACATGATACCCCCATATAACTTTACCTTGGTATATCCATTCATCAAGTACTGTAGCTTTCGGTAATCATCGGCCTCAGAGCTTTCCCCACACCCGAGCTCCCAAAACAACTTCCACCCGAGAACTTTTCAGCGTAGTGGTATATCTTTCTTCATTTTAATATCGCGGTCGAGTGTAATCTGCCTGGATCTTTGAATTGCCACCTGCCACCTGCACAATGGCAACCATCATGTCAACGCGCCTCGTCCGCCTCTCCGCACCCCTCGCTCACCTCCGGGCGACCGCGGTACCTACCCGGGTTTTCATCTCTCGCTACAGCACCAGCACAGAAGAAGACATCATCAAGACTCAACAAGTCCCCGCCCCAGGCTCAGGGCATGTGCGCGTGTTACAGTTGAACCGGCCCAAAGCTCGCAACGCGATCTCTACCCACTTACTCGACACGCTCTCAAAGCATGTGGACGCTATCGCCGCCGAAGGAGGCAACGGACCAACCCGGGCATTGGTTGTAGCGAGTAACGCAGATGCAGCCTTCTGCGCGGGTGCAGACCTGAAGGAACGCGCCAACATGAGCATGGCCGAGTGAGAAACCATCCTGTGCCCTGGTGCCCTGGTGCCCGGTGCCCGGTGCCCCGGGCTTTAAGCTAGAATCTACGCGAACATATGCAGCTAACCTTTCAACACGACTATCCAGAACCGAAGACTTCCTCCTCAAACTCCGCGCCACCTTCCAAAAACTCGCTTCCCTCGAAATCCCCACCATCTCCGCCGTCTCGTCCGTAGCCCTCGGCGGTGGTCTCGAGCTCGCCCTGTGCACGCACCTGCGCGTCTTCGCGTCCTCCAGCATTGTCGCTCTTCCCGAAACACGTCTTGCTATTATCCCCGGCGCCGGTGGCACATACCGCCTGCCTCCGATTATCGGCGTGAACCGCGCCCGGGATATGATCCTCACCGGCCGCCGGGTGACTGGACCCGAGTCTTACTTCATTGGGCTTTGTGATCGGCTTGTGGAGGTGTTGCCCGAGGAGGAGGCACAGGAGGGTGTTGCCCGCGAACGTGTCCTGCGGGAGAGTATCAAGCTCGCTCTGGATATCTGTGAAGGTGGCCCTATTGCTATCAAGATGGCGATGCAGGCTGTCGATGCTCATGCTCTGGGTGAGCGTGCGGAGAATACAGCTTATGAGGCAGTCGTTGAGACTGATGATCGGTATGAGGCGCTGCGCGCCTTTGTTGAGAAGCGGAAGCCGGCGTTCCGTGGGAGGTAATGTACTGTGATGGGATGAGTGCGGAGTGATATATACCCACTAGGTAAGCTATATCATCAAAATGGTACGCCGTATAATTCTATGGAATTTATGAGCAGTTTATTCGTATTAGTAGCTCGGAATAAGTAAAACTGATTTAAATAGGTAGACTGGGGTAGACTACTCAGGGTAGAGTGTTAGGTACGTACTTACATAGTTACCAAGACATCATGTGGACATGATCCTGATCATGAGGGCAACCTTCCAATTCTTCTATCCTTGGAATCTAATATTAATAAGTAGTTAAATGATTCAGTGACTGTAAATAGTAAATAGTGATATAAATATATAGCATACTAGCATACTTAGACCAGGTCTGATATATGTTGTTTCCGTGGTTGTGCTTTTAAGCTTCTGCCTGATATATATAGTCTGGTCCTGTCTATAGTTCTGACTATTTGGTCCTTATTAGGCTACAATATAGACCACGTAAGTGACACAAGCATAAACATGAGTCGAATACTCCGTAGAACATTTCAAGATGGTCTGGGGCCAAAAATTACCTAAATGTGTTTCATTTCCCGTGGTTGATCTACGTGACTCACTGGTCACTACCTATATAGGAATACTCCAAGGCAGCATACCTCGAACAAGGCATACTCATCAATGATGCAATGATGTAACATACATATTCTACATATTCTACATATTCTACATATATGTATGTCTATGAATATCGGCGAGGTCTGAGTGGCACGGTACCTGGCAGGTTACCCGATCTGACAAGGCTGTGCAAGGAACCCCCCCGGGTTAAACCACCAATGGCTAAAACCCAAGGTATAACAAAAAAAAAAAAAAAAAGATCATAGAGAAGAATAATATGCGGCCCGTCGCCCGTCATCCGGGATTCACAACCGATGCAGAAACCCCATGGATCGACCAAAATAGTCCGGGTGACCTGGGTCAGGGGTGCACACTGCCCCAAGTTACCCCCAGTCACCCCTAGTCACCCTCACCCCAGTCACCTGCATTATATTTATAAAAGCCAAAGTCCGAACTCGCTCTTGACTTTTTTTCTTCCTCTCCCAAGTTCATATATTATGGCAATAGCAACCTGACTCTGCTATTGTCCCATCTGTTGCCATGTCCAAGCCCCGTATCGCCGATCCAAAGGCCATCAAGGCCTTTGGCTTGACGCAGATCTATACCCCGCGCGACGATCCAACAATCGATATTGTTTTTGTTCATGGCCTGAACGGCCATCCTCACGACTCTTGGACCAGCAAAACTACTGATTGCTTCTGGCCTACGGACCTTCTCCCGGACGTGCTTGCCTCACTCTGTCCCCGAATTCTGACTTACGGCTACAATGCGAATGTCACTGCCTTCACGGATGGAGCTTCGCGGGATTCGGTCGTCAGCCATGCTGAGACTCTTGCATCCAGTCTTGCTGCTAATCGAAATGTAGGTCGACATCTCAACTTTTGTTTTTGATTGCTTTTGTCTTGATATGTTGTTCCTCTGGTATCGAGGTTCAAGAACTGACCTAAATTTCTCATATAGCTGCGAGACTGCTCCAACCGTCCGATCATCTTCATCTGCCACTCGCTGGGGGTCTGATTGTGAAGCGCGCCTTGATATACTCCCGTAGTCTCTCAAGCGAGAAGACTGAGCATCTCCGCTCAGTCTATGTTTCCACCTTCGGTATCCTCTTCCTCGGCACACCTCACAATGGATCTGATATTGCGAAATGGGGTCTGTTGTTGCATAATATCTGCAATGCTGTGCTCCCCAAGAAGTTTATGGAGGCGTCTCCGCAGCTTGTCAAGGCCCTGCGGGCCAACAATGAAACCCTGCAGCACATCAACAGTCTCTTTGTTGATATCATGGGTCGATTCCACATCTACTTCTTCCATGAAACACGGTCCACCGACGTGCGTGGTACCCGCGAAGTGATTGTGGACGAGCACTCAGCCGCGCCGTACATGGAAGGTGTTGAGAGGGCTGGTATCGAGGCCGATCACAGCCATATGTGCAAGTTTGATGACGACAATGCGGCGGGATATGAAGTTGTAGCCGAGGCCATTCTTCGGTACTCACGTCAGGCTCCATCCGTGATTACGGAACGCTGGGCAGAAGAGAAGAAAGCCCGCACCCAGGAGAAGAAGGCCAAGGCTAGGGAGATCTATGACGGTGAGTCTTTCGAAAAACTGGTACCTTTTTGATATGTATTCTTTCGGATGCTGACTATTGTAGCAAGAGTAGATGACCCGGCAAATCGAAGCATGCCTGATTTGAACAGAACCGGTAGGGATTCACACCTTCTCCCTGCACCGGAAGTGGCTATCACGTTGAGGGACTATGAGATTGAGGAGCCCCCTGTCTGAATCTTTCCGGCGAGCCACATTTGCTTTTTGGTTTTGGTTTTATTCTGTTCTTTCTTCGAGCTCAGTTTGCTCACGTTTCTTCCAATGCCTGTCAATGATTTCCTTGGCCACTCGCTATCGAGTCAAGGGGCCAAATACTTTTGCAAATCCATTCTATTTTTTCTTTTTTTTTTTTTTATACAATGCACAGTGTGTTTTCCATCTTTGTACTGAGATTCTTGGTCTTGTCCCGAGGGTGGCTCCCATCTCAGGTCCTCAGACTAGCTGACCTGCACTGTTCTCAATATGAGAATCATCACATTCATTTTTTAGAGTCACGCTGGCTGACTTCGTCATAGGCCAATCCATATTATCTCTTCCGCGTGCCCCGGCGACGGAAGGCCGAAATTCTCCGGTATCTGATCTGGGAAACAGTGGACTTCTTCAACTCTCCCACTATTCCACCAAAGATGCACCCCTATTCGTGGCGCCTCCGGGGTTTCATCCTAACGCTACTTTTTTTGGAATGGAGAAAGAACTTGAAGTGCTGCATAGCCGGTTGTTCAAAGCCAAGGCACGTCCAGAAAAGACAATGGCCGTACTGATCTCCGGCGTTCCAGGTTCCGGCAAGACACATCTAGCGCGCCAGTACGTGTTCACTCAGCGTGACTGCTATCCAGGTGGCATATTTTGGATTGACGCCAAGTCCCGTGAATCAACCTACAAGTGCTTTTGGGAGATTGCACAAGCAGCGACGCTAATTGAACAGAAGGTCACCGTGAGCACTGCGTATCACGAGACTGAAAAGTACGTGAATGCAGTTCGCCTCTGGCTTCAGACACGCAAAGATTGGCTCCTCGTCTTCGATGGTGTTACCTTCGACCGTGACGATGATATCAATAAATTCAGGGAGGTCTTGCCATGGAGCAAACAGTGTAGTATTATATACACCTCGGTCGACACAACGCTGCGCAAAAAGCAGCGACTGTACGAGCCATATTGTCTGATGATCTCGCGGTTGCAAGTGGAGGACGCTTGCAAGCTTCTGTTTAAGGATCTTGGGATTACGCGAGCAACACCGGAGCAAATGTCTAAGGCTACCCGGATAGTCGAGCACTACGAATGTCTGCCTTTGGCAATCCATGCGATTGGGCACCGTCTCAACGCAACAGGTAAACCGATTGAAAAGTATCATGTCAAATCTCAGGTGACGGACAAGAAGCTTGCAGAGCCTTTCTTGAGCATCATGAACGATTTGTTTCGGTTGCAGCAAAAGCAGGCGTTGCACTTGATTAATCTTCTCTCGTTCCTTGGCCACCAGGTGCCAGTGGGCCTTCTGAACCTCGGTCGAGCGGCTATGGCCGATGAGAATTTGGAGATCCAGACCAGCGGCCAAATCGGAGAAGATCCTGATCTTGATACCACACTTGGAACCCTCATTCACTACGGGTTGGTTGAACGGATTTCAGATGCCGATCTCTTTCAGCAGAGATCGTCCCTGCCTATTTTTGACGGCGATCATACAAGCTCGGACCTGAGGACTGTTCCGGATCTCTCAGATTCCCTGACGGAGAGCAGTCAAGAAGGATTTTTCTCCATCTACCGCCACGAATCGGTGGTTGATGTGGTCAAGATCCACAGTGTAGTGCAGGGGTTCTGTCGTGATGAGCTCCGAATCAAGGACGAGGAGAACAAAGGCATCATGAACAAGAATGACCCTGGTTTCTTCGATACTTGGTTGATTGTTGCAACCCGTTTTCTCATCACGTCTTACGACGCCGCTATGGGACGGATGGCTCATTACGAAGACTGTGGCCTTGTCCGGGACTACCGAGAGTACGAAACTCACGCTTCACGACTGCTTGAGCTTTTTCCAAAGAAGGCAGCAATCAATCTCCATCCACTAATCGTTCGTGAAACGCGAGAGAATTTGCGACGGATGATGAAGATGATCAGCGAAGAAATAGAGAACATGTCTCCAAGCTCCTCGCACCACTCTCTACGGAATCAAAAGTCAGTTTTCGACAGGTCAAGCAGCTCCTCCTCGTCCTTCCGTGACTCGTCAGCAGACGAAGGTCCATCGCGCCGCTCTACCTTCAACTGGAGTGATCTCGGGTCACCTCGAGCCGAGTCTCCCGAGGAATTGGCTATGCCACCTCCTCAGTTCAGATTGGAGCTTTTCCCACCACATATATTCAGACAATCTGGGTATGAATCTGAAGAGGGATATGAAACAGACGGGGAAGCGAAGGGGGTAATTCGAGTTTCTCCTGCAATGTCGCAAATTAGTCAAGTTACGGAGAAAGCGAACAATACTCCCCCTCATCGAGTCCTCCACTAACCACTAGCCTATCGGAATGGCAAGTGGTCAGTCGACGCTCAAAGCCAGGGCAAAATAAAGATAATCAAACAAAGAGGCGAAACAAAGGCCCTCGTCACTTTAGAGATACCAAATCCGACACCCCACTGGTCAAACTGTCCTCCATCCAAGGCAAAGGATCATCAAGCCGCACAGCCGTTGGCGAAACGGGGAGCCCTTCGATGATGGCTTCAGCTGCTGAAAAAGCACTCGTTGCAGTACGTCGGTCTAGCGATTCTCAATCGTCCGCTGGCGCCCCGCAGCCTACGACCACCTCTCCACCAGTAAACCAGGAGAATATCCCTACCTATGCGAATGTGGCCACCCGACGAATATTAGAGGTAGACCCTACGGCCAAACGCCCATCGTCTGTTCCCGTTTTCCAGGTCTTGGACCCGGCTAGCGGTGTGCATTTGAATGGCGGCGTGCAGATGAAACCGTCCATCGAGTCGCTCGATAGTCAAGCGGGCTACGCCTTCACGTCTCCGCTATACCATGAGGTCACTGATGAATTGACGATTGAGCCTCTGAGACAGCCAACATACAGCGAGCCTGAGCCCAATATTCCCAGTCACCACGGAGCAGGTTTACATACCGCCCCTGGATCCCGGGCTCCCTCTCGGCGTGGTTCAGTACCACATCTGGAGGTCTCACAGAGTCTATCCGCAAGCGTGCCAGCCCTCCTTCCCTACCCACCACCTCTTCCATACGATGAGAACATCTCCGTTACTCTCGCAAGCCGCAGGAGATCCTCTCAATTAGCACAAGGCTCAATACCTACCTCGGGCGCTCCTAGACCTTCTTCCATCGCCCATCCATCCGCAATCATGCCCAGCGCATTGCCGCTATCTAATGCCAAACCACACGTGGGCTCAGTCCCAGAGCGCTCTACCCCCGAGTCGATGTCGCGTGACTCTTCAGATTACTCTCATCAATCATGGGCCACAGAACCTGTGCGATACCCCCCGCGGTTCTCGCCAATCCCCAGTTTCCAACAAACCCCCGGGATGATCCCAAGTCCACCATCGAGCATGCAACATCAACAACAAACGCTCTCCGGGACCGCTAGCCGGACAACCGAATTGCCCCTGGCGGGCAATGCTCCCCAGCCAGATCCCAACTACCCCAGCCCACCCGTGTCATCGCATGGACAGCTCGGCTCCATGGATGAGCGACTGAAGTATCCCGACTTGGGCTGGAACTCGGAGATCGAGCCAGCGCAGTATTTGCATTTTGGCGGACATCGCGTTGATGTGCGAGACGCACGACTCCGACTGCATGGACTGACGCGAGTGCTGCCCCCACGTCCTCAGAAGTATCAGCTATATCATCCCAATTTGTCGGGTCCGTTGATACAGCATGACGGTCAGGTCTATGCACCTGCACCTGCGCCTGCGCCACAGCTGGAGGTATATGGGACCCGTACGCGTAGTGGGAGTTCCCCTGTGCGTCCTAACCATGCTGGTTTAGGTGTACGATACTTGTGATGATAATTCCTTTTTGGATTTTAGTATTGGCGTTTTGACATTTTGGCATTGGTTATTGTTATTGTTATTGGTGTTTTTTCTTTCTTTTACATTTGCATACAAGGTTGTTATACTTGCTCGTCTTGCATCTGGTTTGTTTGATTTTGCATAGTGGTTTCCTTCATTTTGAGGCTTGGGTGATACCTGATAGCATGGTGTGAATTGGAGTTTCGAGTTGGCAAAAACTATAGCATCTAGAGGAGGTTTAGCAGAAGGGTTGATGTACTTTCTTCAACTCTTTCAATCAAAATCCCAATCAAGACTATATTTCATCGATATCAGAGATCTATTTCACTGAAATGTCCTGTCAACATCACTGAAAGTACAGAATACTCCGTAGTACGTTGATTTTCCTAAGACAGTCCTAGCTGTAGGGGGAATGTGAGATGTCCAACCAAAGAGCCGCTTCGTGCAGATATTAACATGATCTTGTCTAGACACAAGTTTTGATTTGTTGAATCTGCAGCGATCTACCGCAAGGCACACAACCCCCCCCATGCCGATCACTCGGAATCAGCACCCAGGTGTGTCGACGATCTCCAACTAAGTGCTAAGCCCCCGGGGCTTAGACTATTTCATTCTTTGTCCCTGTGACTTTATGGGCACTTTTCCTGATAAGTGAATGTTTGTCTTTTATACGACAAGATGGCCACACAGACACAGGTCCAAGTTACAGGACTTTCAGGGGCCAATTCGGACGACTCGGGCGTGGAGTTGGTTATTACTCTTGTCATCGCAGTTGGAACTGGCATTGTTTTCTTATCCCTTTTCACCCTCTTCCGGTTTCTGAATCGCAGAGGAAAGTGCCATCATGCCTACAGACAGCCATCCAAACTCCAAAATCCCAAAGTCGAACATGGTCGCCACAGAACATGTCTCGGCCTTACCAAGGCTCTCCTTCGATTTTCCGACATCGATATCGCGAGGGACGTGTCTTTCGATGCTTATCTTCTGTTGAGATACATAAAACTAGGGATTCTGATCTGTTTCATTGGTTGTCTGCTCACTTGGACGGTTCTTTTCCCAGTCAGCGCAACTGGCACTGGTGGATCTTCAGAGTTACGAATCATTTCGTTAGTCAACGCAATAAGGTCGTGGCAAAGATTCTACGCATACACAATATGTGCTTGGTTATTCGTTGGTATGTATTGACTTAATCGAGTGACATCCCAAGCTCACATCGCCTCGCAATTAGCCTTTATATTCTGGGTAGTTACCATTGAGCATCTACACTGTATCCATCTCCAGTGTCAATATTACCAATACGCAAAGTATAGGTCGTCGACTGCATCGAAGGTCTATCTAATCTCCCCAATATCGAAGAATTTACTTCGTAAAATTGATAGGGATCAACTAGTGGAAAGTACCCGGAGGATCTTCGATGTGGGAGCACTTGAGGGCAAAGTGAAGAGAAGGGACAAATTGGCTACGCAACTCGAGGCCCTCGAAACGTCCCTCATCCGCCGTGAAAACTCCGAGAGGTCTACCATCGTCCCGAAACCTCCTAAGGTATTTAACACCCGGGAAGAGATTCGGGTTCTGAACTCGGCCATTCAACTACTCCAGACAAGGTATCTTGCAGCTAGGACAGAAGATCCCACGGCTGTCTTGATCAAGTTCAAGACACCTAGTGATATACAGGGTCTTGCTCATTATGGTTTGTTCTTCCACTCATTTTTGAATCGGTCTTCTGCTCTGTGAGTATTGATCTCGATATAACAGAGCTTCTGAAGTCGGCATCGATTGCCCATATCGGTCTGGAGCCCCAACACATCATCTGGTCCAATTTGAACACCAGCAAGAAAATGAGAGTATTCAGGCTTGTGACCTCTGTCGCCGTACTCGGACTATTTTGGCTTGCTCTGTTTGTACCACTTTTTTTCTTTGCCCTGCTTGAGGACGAAAGTACCCCGTTTTTCTATCCCTCCTTTCAATTCCTCAATTCTCAGCCACCGGGCATAGCGCCGCTGATAACGGGAGTCATTCCTGTTGTCTATGTATCATTGGCTACCGACATTTTAGCCATGGCGTGTCAATGTATGTTTTCAAGCTCCTATTAAATTTCTTTGTCGTCCATCTTGGTCAAGGATTGACTTTCAGCAGATGCTGCCCGTTCAAGCGGCCTACCAACACAAGCTTCTGTGGAGATGAGAACCCAAAAGCTCCACCTCCCACTCCTAGTTGGTTTGGTTCTTGTTGGTCAGACTATTGTGCCTGCTTCAATCCGCATTCTACCAAGTGCCGTCAAGGACACTTCGAGCATTGCTATCATAGTTGCCGAACAATTAGCAAGAGCGGCTGACTTCTTGTTTCAGTTTGTGATACTCGATAGTATTGGACACAGTTCTGCTTATCTCTTGACGAGCGAGTCATATATTGGACCCCGCGTGAAATCTCTCTTTCATAATACGCCGCGGAAAATACGCAATCTCCAACTGAATCGTCATAACTTGCGTTGTGGTCACACGTTTCCGGAAATCGCCATATTTGCCGTGGCCGGTAAGTGGTCAATGAGAGCTTAAATTGTTGTTTGTCTTATTCTCACTATTCTTAGCTATCACATACTCCTGTGTTGCGCCTCTCTTGCTCGGTTTTGCATGCGCAGGTCTTTACCTGTACTACCTCGCCTACCGATATCAGATCAGAAACCTTCCCATGGATATTGTCAATACTCACGGCCAAACCTATCATCTTGCGTTGCAACAAACATTAGTAGGATGCTATACACTCACCATTCTACTCATTGTTTTGTTCACACTCGCAGTTGATAGCGATTATAAACGCATGGGTCCCGTTTGGCTTCTGTTAATTCTTCTGATCCTCTGTGTTGCGTATCATTCAATGTTAAACGATTCACTCAAGGTATTCCAGGATCGCCCTAACGAAGACAAGATCCTCCAAGCGCAATTCCGAAAAACACGTAACCCTTTGACAAAACTCTTTAGCCGACAGTTGTCCGTCATCGCCAAGAGTTCCCCGGATGTGTTCCCAAAGGAGGACTGTGATATGATTTCTTCCCAGAGGGACGAGTGGCACATGTACTTTCATTCAAGCGTCAATGCAAAGGTGCCAGAGATTTGGGTACCACGAGATTCTCGTGGATCTAGCAATCGAGAGATCCAAGAGACTGCTCGATTTGGGATCCCGATGGCAAACGAGGGTGCGTGGCTGGATGGCAGAAATAATATTCATCTAGATGAAGAAGATCGGCTTCCTTTCTGAGGTCCTTTAGTACATAAAAATGTATAATAACAGGCACCTAGGATGGTGTGACCACTTTCTTTTGGATATCAAGGCTTTGTATATGACTTTCTGACAGGCCAAGAAATCAGTGTAATTCTCTCAATCACTCATAGATAGTCCATCCATTTTATCACCTGGTTGACCATAAATAATTACAAAATATCTACCCTAGTTAACATTTGAAGTGACATTACCATTTGTCCACCATATAATCGTAGCATGAAAGTCTGGTGCTTGCTACCTTTCTTTATGTGTATTGCTCTGACCCGATTTGCCTCCAACGCAGCCACAGATATGTCCATATCGTTTCACGCAAGCTGATTCGACTATAGCTCTCAGATGATAAAGAGAGAGATGGTAGAAATGGATATCTACGGGCTAAATGGAATTGGAGACCAAAAACACGGAAATTCTTAATTGAAGGTGACTATAAACTCAAAGCTCTGCTTCTGATCTACTTGTAGCCATTCTCTCCTTGAACTTGGGGTCAATTGTTGGCAAGTCTTCGGGCATGTCGGCGACAATCTTCTCTAAGACGTCCCTGGGAATCGTGGGGGGTTATATACCCTGCGAAACCATCTAAACATTGCTCAATTGTAGCAAACAAATAGCAAATAAAAGCAGAAGGCTCAGTCTGTAGCAAACAACATGCATGCATGGGAGATTGTTCAACGGCCGGAAGGCACGCTTTGATTCTATTCCAGAATTATTGGATTGGTATGCCAGCTGACTGGAGCATCTCGATGTTCGGGGGTTGGCTTCTATGCGGCGCCACGCTGTAGGCTGTGAGACGGACTGCGAGTCGGACTGTGAGGATCATGCCACAGGGGCCTATGCAGAGAATTGCTAGCCTACCAGCTTAGTCTCTTGTGTAGTATTCAATTGCTGAGTGACTGTAATGATATACAGCCTCACTTTGCCTCGATATAGTCCTTCTTAGCCGCCTCCCTAGGATAAAGTTGCACTCAAGTTGGTTAATTATATCGAGAATGTATGCAAACCCTCGTCAACTCTTCTCTATCACCTCTTACAAAACATGTCATGTTGTGCCAATTGTTCAATTACGAGCTCTTGTTTGTCTCCTTTCTACTCTATCTGAAGCTCCAATCGATTTGCGTGGCCATCCTCACCGTCACTCCTAGCTCATTAGCAAAAGCATGAACCAAGCCAGGGTTCTGCTGGAACCAGCGCCCAATCTGCACTGCATCAATGCCAGCTTGCACCACCTCCTCGGCCAGAGGTCCCGTTTTAATCCCGCCGCCAGCCGTTATCAATAGCTTGTCGCCCACGGCTTTCTTGACTTCTTGGGCCAAATGCATTTGGTAACCTGGCCCCGGTTTGATAGCACTAACAGACTTAGGGTGGATGCCACCTGAGCTGACGTCTAATAAGTCAACACCACGTTCAGCTAACAGTGGCCCGAGCTGAACCGATTGAGCAACTGTCCAGCTCTCGGGAAAGTCTTTCTTCAATTCATCGTTGTCGCTGAACTCGAACCAATCAGTCCCACTAATTCGGACCAATAGAGGCATTGTTTCCGGGATGCTAGCACGAATTGCCTCGGAGATTTCCAGAAGTAGTCTGGTCCTGTTCTCGAAACTACCTCCATACCGATCCGTTCTCTTGTTGCTAACAGGACTTAGAAACTGGTGCAATAAATATCCGTAAGCGGAGTGAATCTCAATAGCATCAAAGTTAGCCTTTACGGCCCTTTTCGCAGCCTCCGCGAAATCTTTGATCAAGACCTGGACATCCTCCAAAGTAAGAGCCTTGGGAATGGTGTTGACTCCTTCCTCAAAGGCGATTGCGGACGGTGCAACGATCTCATCCCACCCGCCGACTTCCTTAGCAGCCATAGCATTGAGACTCAACCAGGGAGCAACGCCACTAGCCTTTCGACCGGCGTGAGATAATTGAATAGCGATCTTCTGACTCTGGCTGTGGGAAAACTCGGTGATCCGCTTGAATGGCTCAATCTGACCATCTTCGTAGAGACCAAGATCGTGAGGCGTGGTACGACCCATTTTCTGCACGGCCGTGGATTCCATAATTGCCAATCCCGGGCCGCGCTGGAGAATTCCGCCCATGTGTGTCAGATGCCAATCGGTGACCTTGCCATCGTTGGCATTGGCAGAGTACTGGCAAAGAGGAGCAAGGAACAGACGGTTTGGAAGCGTCAGACCGCGGATGGTAAGAGGGGTGAACAGCTTGGTTGATCCCTCTAATTGCGTGCCTGCTGGGGGGTCTTGCGCTGGTGTGTAATAGGAGATGCCTTCGGCGGCAAAGTTGCCAATTATTTTTGTCATGGTGGCAGTGTTTTGACCGAAGAGTTGAATAGGCACTGAATAGCAAAACCTGGATTGAGTCTTGTGGGTGATAGGAATTCAGCATTCCGGGATATTATTATTAATGTGATGACCACAAATTTCAATTCTGCAGCGGCATGCATTATATGCATCGGATACGAATCTCAAGCCTGCAATGGTATGCATTAGATTCATCAGATTCATCAGATTTAGATATGTCGAAGTCTTAGGTTAAATACATAGTGGAGACAGGGTAATTTACCCAGAGAATCATGTCAACTGGTACTAAACATACTATGCAAAAGTGCATATTACAGTTAGTCATTGATGTCCGCACAGGTTGTTGAAAAAGTAGGGTTTTGTTAATTTAGTTAGTTAGTTAGTTAGTGTTAGGAAGACTGAAGAGTCTGGGCCTAGTTGACGGTTAGGATGTACGCCAAGCCAAGGTACCCCAGTAACCCACGTGATTATCATGTAAATTAAAGTGGCCGGCGATAACTAGTTATCCTGAATCGACATGTGCTACAGCACAATGTTCCTCTAGACGCAGCTAAGCGGACCCCGCTGGCGTGCCAAGCCTGCTGGCGGCACAAACCAAATGTGATTCTGATAATCGTAGGATGGAGTTTCAATTCCGGCCTCTTTCTGTCAATGGAATATGGGAGAATCTAGCATTCAACGTGGTCACCACTCATTCAGCTTCTTTTTTCTGATTCTCTCTCTACCAATCCATTACAAATATATTCCACAGTGAGCGGTAAAAGAGAAGCTATAGATACAGATGCTTAGGGAGCAGGCGGTGAGATGGCATGCATCTACTACCGTATAGAGTGTAGTTAATAATAGGGAGGTGTTAAAGGATACGAGAAGATGTCGTTTTAGCACCTAGCGCCTTCTAGCAGCTGTTCTTAGAGAAAAAGTTAGAGAAGGCTTTACGACGTAAGACTACTCGCTATCGCTAAGTGAGACTAGATAATACCGTTATCGTCGCATTAATAACTAATCGTACTAAGCGAAATCTGACTAAACGATTTAACGATACTGATATATCCTAGGACCCTATCGAAAAGTAGCTTCTAATGTGGTTAGATCTTTTACTCCGTAGAAAAGAACTTACGCTGAAAATCAGTTTCAACTACGTAGACGATCGTCGTTCTTCTTTATCTACTAGCAGCTAGAAAGGGGAGAAAAGAGAGAAGTCATCTATCACGTAAAAAATGCTCGGCGAGCGGGACGTATAGCTCGACGTAAAGGGAAGTACTTCTAGCGGGAGGCCAATTTGGCGTAGCGTCTATAGTCTAATGCGATATAACTCGCCGATATATTAGTATAGCCCCTATTGCTAGGTGGACCTACTAGGGGGAAAACACTACCTACTTAAATCTTATTATATTAAACGCCTAATAACCTACGTTAAGAGGGGCGGTGTTCTAGAAGGTTATAAGGATATACTAGAAGCGGTTCATAACGAATTATACCGGGAAGAGTAAGATAGACTAGGTAGAGACAAGTATAAGGGAAGTTATATCATTAGGGCTAGGTTAGTATATCTACCTATTAATATTAATGTTTCGTCCTCGTAGTCTACGCCCTATAGGCTTAATGCCTCGGCTCCGAAGGCAGTAGGCAATTCGTAGACTCTAAGCCTACTCGAGATTCCGGGTCTTAGAGATATAGCTGTTAAGGAATACGGTAAGTAGTAGGTCTCGAATATTAAGAACGACTCCCTTAAATCTATATTTCGAGAAGTGTATGATGTAATGCTCGAAAACGGTCTTAATCTTGACTAGGTATATAGAGATCAAGATCCTCATTTCTTTATTGAGAAAGGGATCAAAATAGGCATCGCTCGGCGGTTTATAGAGGATATTGGGAAGTGGGTTAAAAGTGTTAAGAAAGTCTTACCTATCCTTAAGAATTAATAGTCTAAACAATTTGGCATTGGACGTTAAGGCGTTAATGATATCTGGCCTCGTTTTCAAATATTGTTCATTTAACACTAAGCTTCTGCAACTCTTCTTACGAAGAAATCCTATTGAATCATCTCTCATTAAGTATTTGATTTAGCAAGAATGCTGAATGATAGTGGACATTCAGGTAGCTATTTATAGCTCTTTGTAGAATGCATTCCGGACGCCATTGAGAGAATAGGCTTCACAAGGTCAGCTACTGATGGGTGCAGTGAAAAACTGAGCTGGGCAATCGAAGCTTCCCCATCGAACAAGTTGACCTCTCCGGGATTTTCTGACTGTGATTTATCACCACCCTGCCAACCCTCACTTAGATGATTCATAGAGACCCACATCCATGTCCAGCCAATCACTGTGCGGCATGATGGTACGCTTATCTCGCTACAGAGTCTCACAGAAACCGACGCAAGGGAAATCGCACAGTCTCTTCTTCCCATTTTACTGGAATACGAGCATCTCCAGGTGTTGTGGAATATCAAAAATCAGATGGAAACTCATCAAAACGAAGATGTCCATTCAGTGATTGACACAATATCACATTTATCGCATAATCGGACACGCAAGTTGCAACTGAATGTAGCAGACATCGCGTCGTTATTGGCCGGCGAGGCCATCTCTTGTATTGTACATCGTGGCGAAGCGGGCCTTTTCCATGATGCTCTGACGTGAATTCGACGAGGACTAAAGTCCTTGTTATTTGACTTACTAACAATAAGTGTTGCGATAGATCAGGTGTTCCCCAATTACTTTTACCTAAATGGGAAAGGAATTACGACTACGCTGTCCAGGCTGAGTGGCTTGGCGTCAGGAAATGGGCAAACAGAGCCCACTCTCCGTTAATAGCTAATGGGGAGTTGACAGCGGCACTCCGTAACATTCTAAACCAGCAAGGCGAAGGAGTTCGTATCTCGCAGCAGGCCAAGGAGGTTAGTTCTATGCTTCAAGGTTATCCTGGCCACACTACTGCAGCACAAAAGATCTTGAAAACGCTGTGTCTTCCTAGGAATGGAACAAATGGACGATGGGAAGCTACGTCAGACGAACTTTGAAGGTGTCAACTGGCAGTAGTTTTTAGAAAAGAATCTAATGACCGTTCTCGGAGAGAAAGTCTCCCGCGATAGGAGACTTGGATCTGATGACACTGCGATTGTCGTATCAGTCAATGATCAAACATAAAGGGTATGAAAAACCCCTATAGGTCCTCATAACCCGCGTCGGATCTGATAAAACTTCCAGTCATTTTGTCTTCTACAGTACAGTATGTATACTAGCTCCCAGCCCCACCGGCTTCCCACCAGCATAGCTTGTCAAATCTTAAAACCCGAAGAGTATCCTAGCATTGTTTGTAAGCAGCTTCGATCGATGTTAAAGCGCAAGACTCGACCATTTTCTAGCCCAATAGCCAGTTGGTCGCCTTGTACGACATGACATACTGGCCGAGAATATGATGGCAGCCGAAAGAAGGACACCTCCCCATAACATATCCACTGGTTTCTGACGAAAAGACCCGATAAAGAATCTCGTCCTCCATCCTGTTCTTCTGCAGCAACGCCGTTGAGCATGATTGGTCCAGCGTCTGTTGCAAGGTACCGTTTATCTGCTGAAAATTCTACGCTATACACCTGCTCTGATGTCTTGACTTCTTTCCATGATCGGAGCTTTAAACGGCTACTCAAATAATACCCCAGGAACTTTGAGATTTTAAGAGGTTTGTTGATGTCCCAAAGCCTGATGGTCTTGTCATAAGAGCCTGATGCGATCTGCTTGCCATCAGGTGAGAAGGCGACAGTGACCACCCCGCTTGAGTGACCTTCTAGTGTCATCTGAAGGTCACCCTTTACGGTATTCCAAAGCTTGATGGTGTGATCACGAGAGCCAGATGCGATCTGCTTGCCGTCTGGTGAAAAGGCCACTGTAGAGACATAATTGGAGTGGCCTGGTAGTGTCTTCTGAAGGTCACCCTTTGCGGTATCCCAAAGCTTGATAGTTGTATCTGAAGAGCCTGATGCAATCTGCTTGCCATCAGATGAAAAGGCCATAGCCCTAACCCAGTCTGAGTGGCCTACTAGTGTCTTTTGAAGGTCACCTGTTGCGGTGTCCCAAAGCTTGATGGTCCTGTCATCAGAGCCCGATGCGACCTGTTTGCCGTCTGGTGAAAAGGCCACTGTAGTGACATAGTTGGAGTGACCTGTCAGTGTCTTCTGAAGGCCACATGCTGTAGTGTCCCAAAGCTTGATGGTTTTGTCATCTGAGCCCGATGCGATCTGCTTGCCGTCTGGTGAAAATGCCACTGTAGTGACATAGTTAGAGTGGCCTGCTAGTGTCTGTATCTGAGACGCCCAAGTGTCCTCCATAGACGGCACCTTTCTCAGATAGACTGGAATTTTGTCCAAGTTTATCCTCTTCACCACACTTAATTCAGGACTGAAGATAACAGCAGAGCTGTACATCTGTAGAGGCCAATGTGTGAGAGTATGGTAGTGTCGCAACAAAAAATGTGCAGCATCCTGCATAAGTGCCAAAGCTAAAGGGTCGTCCTTTGAAAAGCTTGTGAGCGAACACCCTTGACATCAAAGATAGCATGTTCTCACCTTTGCTATATCCACTAGTGTATTTAACGCTTCAGTAGCTCGTGGTAGCTCGTCCAAAAGGCTAAGAGACTCAAGCCATTCCAATAACTTTGTGTGGATAAATAAACCAACTGCGCCCTTCTCAACAAGCCCGCTCTTTACTATCGTCCCTCGCTTGATGTTCTTGAGATGTTGCACCCAAAATGTAGCTGCATAGCCCAAACAACCTAGTTGGACAATTCCTTTCTGGTCTTTTATTGTTTTCCAAGCTTCTTTGGTAGAGTCAGGTCGCGGGAGGTCAAGAAGATTGACCTTTAGCCATTTAGATAACTGAGACAGGCATCCCAGCACAATTTCATAATGTCCGAAGCATTCATGCGAGTCAACCATAGACTGTCCGTTCACCCCGGCCAAGTATTCCCGAGCAGACTGATGAATAAACTCGATGTTGTTTTCCTGCACCTTGATTAATGAAGCGCAACGATTGACTAACGTCATAATAGCGTCGTCTTCATTAGTTAGGCCAGTCACACTCGGAACTTCCTCCACTTTCAAAGGTCGGTAAACCAGCATCATGGCCTTAAGCAGTCGCATGCTTTTTTTTGACATCATCTAGCTCGCCTTCACTTATTTGATTTAATATCCGATCATATAAAGGGTGTAGGCCCGGCGGTAAATTTTGAATTGTTGCCAAGGCCTCATCTTGGCGGACAGTCTCGAGTTTCTTGCATACGAGGCTCACCCACAAAAAGGTGCCGTCAGCCCTCGCAATAAGCTCAGCCTTCACTTCTCTTCTCAGTATCTCTCCGTATCTATGATAACGACTGAGCTCATCCACTTTGTGAGATACGTAAGCATTTACAGCTTCAGAGACATATTTCGAGTTGAGCTCTAGGCTAATTTGCAATTGGTCGTGTCCAGCCAACAGTACACGTTCTGCGCTGTCAAATGGTCGACTTGTCAAGAGCCATTTGATATTAGCGGGCTGGTCTAGTCCATTACGGACGATGAGCTTCAAGAAGTCGGCAATGCCGTTATCTTGGCACTCATCAAGGGCATCCACAATTATGTATACCTTTGAGTTACATCGGTCCAACATCTCAAACAGGATGTTCCAGAGAGTTCTCCATGAGGTAACGTCCTCATTAAAACGGTCGTGCTTGGTGTTCCAGCGGCGTCGTAGAGATTCTTTAAGCTCGGTACGCTGATTCGCCAACTTTAAAATCAGACCCTTGATGATTGATTGAAGAGTATTGAGCTCATTGTCGGCATTTTGGCAAAAAAAATAAGTCACCGTGTTAGATTCGTGTTGTCCCCGTGAAAGCTCTTCAATAACACCGATCGAAATCATGGTCTTCCCTTTCCCAGCGCCGCCCTTAATCCAGAGCAGGCAGGTCTTTTTTCCATTTCGCCAACTTTGATATTGTGGGTTTTGGAAAATCCATGCGAACGATTGAGGTAGTAACTTGTCCTTGGTCTCTTTAAGTCTAGTCTTCACAGCCAGTGAGTCGGGGCAGCGTAGATCACTGAAGCAAAATCGATCGATATCTTCAGTGTTGTAAGCTGTAAAATGTGTGAACTTGATGAATCCAGCCTGGCCGAGACACGATTAAACCTACCCTGGTAAAATTCTGCCGTGACCGAACCATGGCTGTTTCCAATCTGGAAACCATGGTTCGTACCAGTAAAGTGGGTAGTTGTCATAATCAAGGTCAAACGAGATGCTGTCGTTTGTGTGCAAGAGATATGCAGGTCGCTCAGTGGAATGAATGAGGGGAGCTTCTTAGTCAGGTGACTCGATAGCGCTAAGCCGCAACGTTGGAATATTTCGGCCGTGTCCCTTCCAATCTCCTATGAGATTAGATTCACCTCTCAAATAAGTTTTTGAAAATAATTTAACATAATAAAGTGGCCAACCGAATTTCGAGCTAGTGTTCATTCTGACTGAAAGAGACTGCTGCCTACGAGAATAGAAGTTGGAGACGCATATCTAGCATTGGGTCGGAGATATATAATGATTCAGAATGGGCTTCAAATGAGAAATCGCTGCCTCAATGTAATGATATCGCCAAGGAGAATGTCAGCTATATTAATCCTCTATAGTCAGGCCCGCGTGCCGAAAATGACCTCTAGCACTTTTTTCTCTCACCCCAACCTGATTGATACAGCCTTGAAGAAAGGTGTCAAATTGCCGATCAGGATCGTCTGTATAGTAGCGCCAATTACGTCTGATGAAGCCTTTGAGCTCAGCAAAGAACTCTTCTATTAGATTCAGGTCCGGCGAGTACGCGGGCAGATAAACCAACTTGACTCCTGCACGAGCACACATCTGCGTCACACGTTGAGGGCGGTGGAATGATGCGTTATCGATGACTAGGACAGACTTCGACTCTGGCCATCTTCCGCAGTGCCGGAGAAATTCATCGATGAAGTCTTCGAAAACAGCAGCATCTGTTGAACCGCGAAAAACGCGAGAGAGCACAATACAATCTTGTGCATAAGCAGGTAGTATTTGATACCGCTCGTCCCGGTGAAATTGTGACACTTGGACCGGGGCTACACCGAGTGGTGACCAGCCTGTTCGCCTAAAGCCAATTCTTTTATCACACCCGGACTCATTAACGTAAACCAGATGGTATGGGTTAAATTTCGAGAGGTTATGAAGAAATATTTCTCGCAATTCTGCGTTCCGCTCCTTGGCCTTCTGTTGAGTGGTCTTCTTTGACCAACCTTTAGACACAAGGGCCCTCCTGATACTTGAGGTCGTCACTAGTATCTGGAACTCGTCCCATAAAAGACAACCATTTCATCGAGATAGAGATCAGGCTTTTCAAATAGATGATGGCACAAAGCTTCTAGCATCGGTGGGGTTACGCTTCGTCTTCGACCGACACGATTTGGAGGGGCGTGGATATTTCCGAACTGTCGCAAATTTCTGCGAATGTTTTGGTCGTTTTTTCGATGCAGTCAGCTGAATGGCCATTTGAGACGTGGTTAGTGAGTGGCTCTGTATTATATCATGAATTAATTGTAGTTTTGAGGGGGGTAATCTCGGCGCCATATTATGCTGATTATTCCGCAATCCTCACAACAATTGTGAAGAGGATATGTGCCAAAGGAAAGTCGACGGGCAAAGGGGGGTCTGAAGGTCACGTGCATTGGAGCTTTTTGTAAGATACAGTATTATACGTCTCTCAACCGTTCCAGAACCTAACGCTATCTATTCTTAGTATATTATGTAGTTTTACAAGCTAACCCGGGTTGGGTTAGTGCAGTTTCGGGTACGGGCCGAAAAACAACACGTGTTTGTTCATTTCCATGGCAAAGTTTACCTTTGTACCCAGTACCTGGTACTAGTACTGTTGTACCTACCTACTTACCTACCTAGGTAGGTATGTCGGTACCGGGTTCAGAAGGTGGGAAATTAGAACCATGGATACTGGCCCCACAGCAAACTCTAATGCTGATAGGCTTTGCATCCCGAGATCTCTTCCAGAGAGAATAAGAGTAAAACTTTAGCATCTTTGTCTACGGGCTGTCCTGAAACTTCCACCATGCGTCCAGAACATCGTTGAACCCCATGTCTTTTCGCAGACGCTGTGCGACCTTACAGCGCCAGTCTTTTTTAGAGTATTCATCCCCATAATCGAAATCCATTCCTGCGGAGATTCGGAATTTTGTTCTGACCCTCTCGATAGGGACATAGCCAGCAAGCTCCCAGTCGATGATACCTAGTGAGCCTGTCGAGATATCGACGAGAATGTTAGTAGGACCAAGATCGCAATGACAGAAGACAAGCCTAGAGACATCCATAGACATCTCGGTACAATTCTTTAGGAGCTGTTGTGGAGCAAGGGCATCAGCAATTTTGGTGTTGCCTTTGAGGAGATAACGTTCCAACAGCTGACGTCCATCCACACCGCTAATGGTATCGCCCTTCTATACTAACATTAAGGTATAGCTTCAAAATATTAATCATGCGTCCTTGTGCAATCCAAGCATCCTAAAATTACAGCAAGACATATCTCATTAAAAGGAACCCTTTTCGCCATGAGCTGTTGTAGTAACTGCAACAGCCCCCTTCTCCGCATAACCGGGCTCAACAGCATTGATAGTATATCCATCACTCCCAGAAGCATCAATATCCTCCACGAAGTCCTTGGGCTCCATCCATCCAGATGCGTTCTTCATATCAGCCGGGGCGAAAGCCAAACATGACAAGTAATAGACAACAAATGAAAGAATCAGACCAGTGGGGTAAGCGACAAAGTAGAATCGCTGGATACCTAGAGGGGCCTTGACGCCCATCTGGTGAAGAAACCCGTAAAAGTTCGGCGCAATAGCAATAATGTAGGCCAAGAAGGCGCGCGGGTTGAATCCATGGAAGTACCGATACGGGCTTGGGCGTGAGACGTATAGGGCTGGAATGTTGAGTAGCCCTCGGCGGATGAGATAGTAATCGCAGATGAGAATTCCGGTAATTGCTGATAGGAAGATCTGGTAGGAGGAGAGAAATGTGATAAATATTGAGGCTGATGCGAGGAGGTACCAGGGACAGATTGCATAGGAAAGGACTGGTGGTTTTGTTAGTTTTTGCTGGGGCAAGTGGGATTCTTCAAGTTCTTTTCTTCCTTTCTTACCGGCACAAATAAAGAATCCTCGTTTGATTGAAATGTATTTTGGTAAAAGGGCTGCAATGTCGTTACCGGCACTGAGGGTGGTTAGTATCTGACATAGAAATTTGACAGAAGGGGGATTGGATTCTTACGGGATAGAGTTCTCAAAAATGGCAGAGAAGACAGTCGAATAAACAAATGCCAGAGAGATGAAGGCACAAGCCGCGCGGTTGCCAGAGGTATATCGCTCTCCCCCCATCAATTTGTCCAAGAAGTTCAGCGGGTTCCAGATGAGCTAGGGAAGTTCATCAGTCCAAAGGTTTTAAACAATGCTTTTGATATAACAAACCTCTCCAAAGATGGCTTTGCTAGCTGATGCGATAAGATTTCCCAAAATGGCAACCAAAAAGTTCGACAGTGGGAAGCTGACAAACTGGCCAATTAGGACGTCATTGGGCTTTGTAGCATATCGCTGGAGATCTGACGCGTTGGAGATAAAGGTTCCACAACTTGCGAGTCCCAAGAAGAGGAACTTGAAAATAAGATAACTTTTCTCGGTGCCCTTGATCTCTGAAGGAGCATTGATTGTCTTCAGAGAGCCACCGGCGAGAGACACAGTCCATCCCAGCATAGCAAAGGCTGCGCCGAAGTAAACCACAACTTTGACATAGACCAGAGACTTCATCTTTGGTACAGGAACCACTAAAAATGCGCAATTGATAAGCCTGTCGAGACGGGTTAACCATAGAGCAAGCATTGAGAGACTAGTCACTGTACCAATAGATGAAGAAACACATCATTTGTGCTGAAGTCAAAGCCGACTTAGATCCCATCTTATCCGGGATGTTTTCAATAGAAGGGAATATAGCGTGTAGGAAGACACTAGAAGCGAAGGTCAATAAACACACTTTCCGCGCTTCGCTCGCCGTGGAAAGGAACGAGATCAAGTCAGAAACTCACTATAAACATTGTCCTCCCTGAACGGAATTGACACCATTCCATACAATTGACATAGCCGCGCGATTAAAAGTCGGCCACAGTCCTCCCCAATGCCCAAAGCTAGAGCGGCAAAGAACAGGGAACGGAATGCGATACATGGCGCCAGCACGCCCGTTCAAAGCCATCAAGGCACCAGCAAGAATCTGACCACCGAAGGAGCATCCGATTGCTTCCCACATGGTCAATCCCATGGACATTCCCGTGGAAGCTGTGTAAAGATTGCTGACATTCGCAGTCGCAGAGAACCAGAACATCATGTAGGTGAGTTGGGACCATGTTCGATCTTTTACTGGTGTTGGTCGGATAGAGTCATTGTCAAGCATATCAACCGGGCGATCGACGCCATCTCGCTGAGTTCTTTTCACTATTAGGAGCTCATGCAGTCGAGATAGTTTCGACATAATTGAGGTTGTATTGAGTTGGTGGAGTAGATAGAGGGTGGAGAAAAAGGTCAAAAGACGAAAGATGGTCGAATTCGAGTGCTGATCTTAGTGGTGAACCCTGAAACTTGAATAAAGGGGGTGGAAGATGGCGGGGAAGTACGTGTAGGATATATCGTGCTTTTCGAGGGCTACTTGATAATTTGGAGTGACCAATGGACTGATAAGGAGTCACCTGCAACTGTCCACTGGCAGCCTGCAACAACACCCTTCGCTATCCAGAGAGGCACCGACGATGCTATCTCCTCACGAGAATCACAAAAGCAAAAGTAACACATGTAACACATGTAACGGCCTATCTCAGCTTATCATTTCAACCAACCACATTTGCATGTGGGCATATGGAGATTAGCCCGGTGATTGCCGTGTCAACGCATTCTCCGACGGTTATCGGTGGATTTGATCCTTTGATCTTTCGAACATCCATCGATATTGCGGGGGAGAAGATCCGTAGATAAATTCACGAGCATCCTCGACTTGGTATTGGCCATCTATCGAACTAATCATGACAACCCTGCTCGAGTACACTCAAGTCGAACTCCTGACACTCAGCGGTCCAGAATTCCGCCGGGTGTCCACTGCTCCTCCGCGGCCGCCAACGGATGATGAGATACCGATTATAGATATTGCCTCTATCGACAAGGATCTAGAAGCAAGAAAATCCCTCGCGTACAAAGTCAGAGCAGCAGCCAAGAGCACGGGGTTCTTCTATATCAAAAATCACGGAATCTCAGAAGAGCTCATTCAGAATGCCTTGTCGCAAGCAAAAGCTTTCTTCGATCAGCCTATTGAGAAGAAACAGCTAGCATCAAGCAAGATTCAAAAGAACGCTGATGGATGGCATGGGTTGGGCACTACCCAAGTCAACAAAACTGAAACAAGAGGTAACCACCCCCTTCTCACTCCCACCTGGGCATGTATATCCTGGTCACATTACCAATGACTGACGAACCTTCTCAGATCGCAAAGAGACATTCTCTCTGCGGTACAATCCCAAGAATGATCCAACTGTCTCCGACCTGGACAAGCTGTCCGGCGACAATGACTTTGCATGGGAGACAACAAGTCATCTCCCTGGATTCCACGAAACGACAATTGAATTCTATCAGCACCGTCTCACGCTCGCGCGCAAGATGATCCGTATCTTTGCGCTCGCTCTGGGAATGCCGGAGGATTACTTCGACGCGGTGACCACTAACCCCGGCGCAGACGGGCTTTACGTACATTATCCAGCTACACCAGCCGACGCGGTTGAAGAAAACAACGGAGACGTCGATGTCGGCATCGGATCGCATACCGATATCCAGTGCGTCACTATTCTGTGGCAGGATATGTCTGGCGGTTTGCAGGTCCTGTCTGCCAGTGACGAGTGGCTCGATGCTCGGCCTATAGCTGGCACGCTAGTAGTTAATATTGGCGACTTCTTGCAGCGTCTTTCCAATAATAGGTTCAAGTCCACCGTGCATAGGGTTTATAATCGGCAACCTACTTCCAGGTACTCGATGCCTTTCTTCCTGGGTTTCAATCCGGATTCGGTTTGTAAGGTTGTGCCTTCGTGTATTGATGAGACTCATCCTGCGCTTTATGAGCCTATCTCCTGTGGAAAGGTAAGCCTTATCCCCATTTAACCTTGTTCGGTACGGGACATAGCTAACCTTCACACCCAGTGGCATCGCAACCGACTTGAGCTCTCACACGGAAAGCCTATCTCTGATTGAAGATAATGTCCATTCGGAGAGATATGTGTATTCCAATTCAAATTATCCTGAAATAATAACCAACGCCCCTTGTATAGATTTCAAAAGTGCTGTATAGAACCATTCATCCCGTCCCAATCAGAAGCGGGCATCGAATCAATAAACCGAAATGGCGCCCAGTCTGCGACCGAGCCTGGGTATGAATAAAACGTATCATTGGGAATCACTGCCACCTTCGAATCCAAAACGTCCTTTACCTTCTTCTGCACAACATTCGTTGCCCAACTAAATACTCCCACAATGCTTTTGGGAATCTTAGCCTGCGTCCGAACATCTTCCATCAACGTATATGTTGCGTGAACATCGGATATACTCGCGCAGTACTCTGCTAGAGTGACGCCCGCATATGCGGTGAGCAGGTAGTCGTATGTTGGTCTAACAAACGGAGTCTCGGCGGTGCAGAGGACGAAAAACTCCCTCAGTACACATTGAGCATAACGAATAACCGTTTCGGTCAGCTCGTTGATACGCTCATTACGCATCAGCGCGTTCGGAAACGTGGATTTGTTCTGCTTTGCCAGTTCCCAGCGAGATAAAATTAGGGATGCGCAAGAGTGCGCCCATCTTAGTGTACTGTTGCTTTCTGTGTGTGAAAGTCAGCATGGGAAGAGGTCCCCGGCACGCTTAAATTAACATGCTCACCTCCAAGATATTTGCGTCCCCATCTGTTGACATTCTCCCAGGCCTCCGGCACTGCACTGGCAGTGTTATAGATGGCTTCGTACAGGTGAATGTAGAGCTTGAGCTCTGCGGCAATGATGTGGTCGAATGTTTCAAAACCGGGGTATTTGACAATCTCCGTCCACTGATGAAGATGGTCGCATGAAACCACTGATGGCCGCCCGGTGCCAATTGCATATCTTGAAATCTAATCAGCTTTGATGCCCATTCTAAAAGGATTTTCCATTGTAACTTTGAAGAGTGCGTACTTCAGATGTACCAGCGATGCCTGAATCCACATTCTGCACATATTCCGATTTGTCTCATCGTACAAGCCCACGAGCGACACAAGCTCAGATAGAGGAAAACTAAGCATGCAGTGGGTGATGGTTGTACTGCTCATCAGCCAGCTATCAATATACCTACCACCTGGCACTAGAGGCCCAAAGCTCCAGGCGCTGAAGATAAGCATGGCGTGTATGGTAGAGATATCAATGGGCGTATCCAAAGTCTTCATGCCCAAGTGGGTCTTGACCAATGTATGAAGGGTTATGTGCAAGTTGGTGCGGTTTAGACCGGCCGTTGCTCGGATTCCTGCTAGGAGACATACAGCAAAGAGCAGCGGTTGGTTCTCCTTGAGATCTGTCAGGGTCTCATTCGGAAATGGGTACCATGATGCTATCTGCTCGAAGCCGTGCTGGAAAACGCTGGCAAAATTCTCCGAGTCCAAGCCCATCTCGGTCATATTTACACGGAGCGAGTCGTTCTCTCCGGTTGCTACGGGCTCCGTGATTAGACTCCCAACGTGGCGGACCACTGTAATTGGTGCCGGTTGGATGTCGGTGGTTGCCGATATGTCCGTCTCTGAGGGGATGTGCATGGTGGCTTTGCTATCGTTGATATCCTTTCCCGAGAGTAAATTACTACTCGTTCCATGCATTTCATTGGTAGGATCTCTTGTCATTGACCGGTCATTACCGAGAAGGTGAGATTTCAGTAATTCTTTCATCTCGGAGAGTGAGGCTTCGATGGCATCAAGTCTGGTGCTTATCGGTTAGTAGTCGGAGGGTCTGTCTATACAAGTGGAATTAGAAATACAATACCGGTTTGCACAATGGCATCCAACATGCTGGTTAGAACTCCTCTCTGGTCTTCCGATAGTTTTTGAATCCGGACTAGTGATAGCAGTTGTGGATGGGAGAGAGCATTCAAGTCTATTCTTTGTTCGATTAACCCCCCATCAACCCTCGTGAATGATGAGATTCTATTGGGCCACCGACCTTAGGGAGATGCACCGAGCACATTGCCTCGAACCCGGAAGAACTTCGCATCGTGTCTTCAAGCGCCGACACGGCTGGCAGGACAGAATCCGTCGCTTGCTCGGCATTTCATAGAGTGGAATGTCCCATGGGATCATAAGATATTGTGAAGTCAACCTGAAACTCGATGTTCTCCGCTTGCTTATCTGGGGTTAACTAAGACTTATCGGGTTAGCTGTCCAGGCTGGTCAGGGCCCGAGGTCCACGGGTGGCAGTTTAGGGTTATCACTGGTAGATAAGAAGAGTTGGGATTTGATAGTGCAATACAATGAGTTACATCTAACCGAACAGCAGAATAACTTGTTAAATTCGTTTCATACGTACATCAATTGATGCCATTGAGCAGGTATTTTTCATTTCCGTTGGCCTTTACCCGATAAAGGCTTGGGAACGATCACAATCATTCAACCACAAGGGTTGTAGAGTCCAGCAAAGAAGAGTTTATAGTCCTAACAAGGACGAAAGCTTCCCTGGAATTGACAAGTTGCCTAATCAAGTGCATAGATAAATCCCGTGACTTGACCAAACCTGATTGGGGACAGAAACCTTGAAAATCAGGCCAAAACTGACTGTCAATCGACGTAAGAGATGAGAGCTACATACTCATGACGTCGTCAAAACCAACTTTACAGCTGGAGGCGACCAAGTAGAAACCAAGCATGATACGCCGACATTTTAAACTTCCAACCTATTTAAACAAGCTACTCGGGATTAATCTGGGGAAAATCTATCACATATTTCATCCCTTATATTCCAATTCACTCAATCAATCGGAATCTTCTACCACACTACTACATACATCAATCATATCCCAAACCATGTCCGCATCACGATTCGCTCCTCTCCTGAGAACCCGGGTGCCGGTACAAACTGCACCTAGCTTCCAGGTAATTCGCTCCATCTCAGCTACAGCCCCATGCAACAAGGGACCGGTGGATGCGACAAAGGAGACATTGAAGAAAGCGGACCGAACTGTGTCGGATGCAGCGGTCAAGGGCATCAATACGGGTGGTATGTCTTCAATGGGATCTCATAGATCTACAGGACTTCGATTCAATGTGCAGACACTGATGCTAACATGACTTTGCCAACAGAAAAAGCCGCCAACAAGCTTAAGGATGCCGTTGGCTCCGGGGCCAAGCAAGCAAGGGAAAAGGGGGATGAGGTAAAGGGCGAAGCATCCGAGTATGCAGGCAAGGTGAAGGGTGAGGCGGCCGAGTATGCAGGCAAGGGTAAAGGCAAGGCAGAAGAAGCACTGGGCGAAGCTAAGCAGAAGGCAAAGTAGGCGATGGGCCAGATGAAAAGGAAGGCCAAAGAGGCCAAGCGCCGCATTGATTAAAGGCTTCGACCTTGTCTGCCCACAAAGACCGCGTTAAGCTTGCATCACTTGTGATCCGAATTGTAATGTTATTCCCATATTCCGTCCATCCAAGTTGGTGTAGCCTGTAGCGCTTCAATGTTTTAAGCAAAGTTGAAAATGCCACTCTTCAGCTGGGAGGCAGCATAAGAACGTATTCGCGCGAACTCAGGCCGAAGCGAATTACGTCCTTGTCCATGACTTCCACGTAGCGACCACCGGGGATGGTCTCTCCGTTAACGCTCGATCCATTTGCACTCTCAAGATCAATAAGATAAGGCTTGACCTTGCCGATGCGATCGCCGTATTCATTGCGCTTTTCAACAAATCGGAATTGTAGCACTGCATGTTGCTTCGAGCAGCTGGGATGGTCGAGTGGGAAGTCGACCACCAGTCGCTCGCGACCGACCAGCCAGCAACTTCGTTCACTCAATTCAACCGTTTCCAGCAAGTCTTGCCCTTTGAACACATACATGCGCCAGGCTTCCTTGGGGGGCGGCTTGCGCGCCTCTGGGGGCTCATGGTATTTCAAAACTATTTCCGCACCGCCCTGAATTTGAATTGTATTGCTTTCAGCTGCGAGTCTGCCAGTGGCGCTGAAATTCGGCTTCTGTTTTTCTGGCACCGGTGCATCTGAAGGGGGCGCCACATCGGTAAATGCGTCGTTCTGCGAGGGGAGGGGGCCACGTCGTTCCAATGCTCGTGGTGGAGGGCTACGTGATTTCTGTGGTGAGCGAGAGCGTGATCGCGTAGCACGATGTCTCCGAGATGGCCGTCCTTCATCTTCGTGGCGGCTATCACGGTGCCGATGGCTGCGGTGTCTGTGTCTGCGGCGGTCTTCTCTCGCTGAGCTTGTTGAGCGCTCTCTGCGCTCACGGCGAGGTCGATCACGATCACTTCGGCCGCTGGCCCTTTCAGCTGGACTGCGGGATGACCTCCGTCGAGGGCTGTCCCGGCGAGAGCTCCGGCGGTCTTCATCGCGTCGTCTTGAGCTCGAATAGTGGGCGTCTTGAGGCGAATCTCGTCGTTGGCGTTCATGGGTCCGATCTGAGGGTGAGTTCACGGAGCGGCGCCGGCGTTCCCAGGGGTCGTCGATGGACCCAGCCATTGTTGCTGTTAAAATGGGACTGCGGGGAAAGGCAAGCGTAAAGATCGAAATTCAAAATGTTGGAGATTGTTGGATCAAAGCTCCCACACTTGTACCACTTGCATACACGTGACCACCCCCGAAGCAGTTCCGGACAAGAGCACCACCTTAACTCTCCCTTCAAATAGGCTTAAGACAACAGCACAACGGATATTTTAGCCGTGCTCTCTGAAGCAACACCATGTGAGAATGTTCAAGAAAATCAATATCTTTCAGCGCAAAAGCCTGCGACTTTTGGATTCGACCGCGATCTTCCCGCTTTCTCGTTTCAACATCATCTCTCCAAGCTATGAACCGCAAGCACCATACAAAAATAGGAGATATGCTACCGCAGCAGAATTCCCACATCAGAACTACTCATGGCCCAGCTCTTCGTCTTTCACCCCTTATGATATCTTGAATCTACCCCGCAGCGCAACATACTCGAAAAGAAACTACTATGACCTCGTTAAGATCTACCACCCCGATCGACCTATCAAAGACCATCCTCTTTTCCATCAATTAACCGCTGAAACTCGATTGCAGCGCTACCGAATTGTGGTTGACGCACATGACCTCCTTTCCGATCCGATCAAACGAGCCGCCTATGATCGAAATGGCACTGGCTGGGTCCACGCGGGACTGGATACAACAACAAAACCCGACTCGCATGGACCGAATATCTACTCAAATGCTACATGGGAAGACTGGGAGGACTGGCATAACCGTCATCAAGGGCCGCAGCAGCATGTTGTTGACCAGCGCACCTTCTCTCGGCTTGTAATCCTCTTGGTATTGTTTGCGGGCGCCCTTCAAGCGTCCTGGATTGGACAGATGAATAACGGCGTCACTGACCGACTACGTGAGGTCAATGAGAAGTCGGCGCGCGTCCTACAGGGCCGCAGAGATAGCACCGTCAAACAGATGGATTCAAATGATGCGCGTGTGCAGGGCTTTCTTATTCGGAGAGACCCCACAGGTTCTGGTGTGAAGGACCACGAACAACCGGTTTATCAAAGGGAGTTGAATCCCCGGCGCGGCTTACATGAGGCCTCCCAGGTTGGCAAAGATAGCCGAGATCCTGCACAGTCAGTGGACTTGAAGTCGGAACCTTTGGAGTTCCCCTAGTCCTGTTAGATGAGCATATGATTGCATGGCGTATTGACTTTTTATGTGGGTTGCTGTATTTTCATAAGCACTTGGTTGTGGTCCTGGAGACTCACCTACAATTGTTTGGAGGGTTGTACATACGTAGGTAACGTTGGACATATTCCTAGACTGATAGGTAAAGTACATTTCAATTCAATGAATCTCAACCTCAAATTATTATTTTGCCAACGGAACAGTGGAGGCAACATATTGTTGGTCACAGACCGCATTCATATAGATGACCAGATGAAACTAGGCATAGCGCCACCCGAAGCTCAAAGAAGAATAAGGGATAACTGCGTATGTAGCTAAGAGCCTAGACTGCATATAAGGGAGCCAGCCAAGTGAGGTCGGAATGTGTGTATATCATGCCAAATAACGACCGGAGAATCTCAGCTGATGCTCACCTGCGATATAAACCTAACAATATATATTGTCAAAATTAAATGAAGTATATAAACTCCACGGGTATTGCCCCAGATTATTCATTTCACAGTTAAATTATCCTGCGGGAAAGGGGGGCTTTGACCGTTCGATATTCCCACATCGAGCGAATTTGGCGCCACAGAAGCCCCGTCGACGCCGGCGGGTCGATTCCCTCGTTCCGGGTTACTTAGGTAGGCATCTGCAAGTGTGACAATGCATTTGGCCTCTACACTACCCCATTCCCCATTCCCCAGGCTGAACAAGGGGGATAGGGGGTTTGAATTCTCTAGTCTAGACCGCATGAGAACTTCTCCTTCGATCCGGATGTGCCACGAGTCGCTTTTTAGAATGTAAAACAATTCCCTCTTCCGGTTAGTTTTGCTGTTTCTGGTATAGCCTCCTGATACGTCGTACTGTACCTAGGTAACTATACCACTAAGCAACTGACCGATCTAAATACAGGTAGCATAGCCATGGATAAGACTGGCCACACTGTTGACACTAACTAAGCCTGGTTATGTTGTACTGAGGGTAGGTGTCTAAGACACCAACTGAGGACTAAGGCCACCACCATAACAAATACTACTAGTAAGAATCAATATATCTTCATTTAACAATCTTCAACTCACATAATCATGCTTGCCGGTCTTACAAACGTATTCACCCCTCCACTAGTCCTTCCGTCCTCCTTGTTATTGGCAAGTTTGGTGCCACAATCCATGTTCTTCATATCCTACCCGAGAACGGCACCATCGAACGCTTCAGCCTTACAACCCCATCTTCTACTACCACCTTCCGCCACCGCGGAGCCAGTGAGCAGGCGCGCGAGCACATCGGCACAGTCACACTTCACGTTGGAGATGGCGAGACTGCCAACAGCTTTCTCGACGACGTTGAGACACGAATCCGTAAGCTGCTACAGCCAGGCAGTGTTGACGTGACTCAGCTAGTACAAGACGTCCTTCAACCCGCGGCACTTTATTACGATCCATGAAAGAGAGGAGCGAGATCGCTCTATGCGCGCGACGCAGACGTACCCTGTTTTTGTTGTTTACATCATACGCTCGAGCGTAGGGGGAGCCTGACTGAGCTGACAAGCTTTCCTTAATGAGATTTCATCGGTTCTTATGCTCAAGATATGAATAGTCGTTGTGGTGTCTTGAAATAATATTACATGCATCATAGTAATACATTGACACCGTTTTTATTCTATACATATATGGCTCGCTTTTTTAGAATACTGCTTATGATACTGGTTGACTCCCTGGATATTTGGAACCTTCTAATCCTGTGATATATCGGAGATATAGAACATTCTTTAGTCTCGACGGAGTGGGGAAAGACTGGCATCAGCGCTTGCAGACCTTCTAGATGTTACGAAATACGGTTGGTCAAAACTCTACTTCTCAAAGACCATTGTCCTTCATGAAAATGCAGAAATATGGTCCGTGGAGCATCGAGCATGCGTCTAATATACGAGACTTGGCAAGAATACTCGTGGGCTGGGCCTTTAAGGCCACGGATGAGGTTAGTTCTATTAGAGGGGGTCAGATATAAAGACTAGGGTAGTAAATTTGTATTGTAGGATACGACAACGTTAAGGTTGCATTAAAGCGTGGGCAACGAGGGTGAGAGAATGAGAGGTATAATGATACCGGAAGGGAGGGAATGCTATGTATCTTATAGGCGCTTAAATAGATTAGGCGAAAAGGGAGGGGACTTGAATTCAGCTGAAGGGGAGCTATTTTCGGCGTCGTTTCGGTGTCGAGCGTCAACATCACCTAGGCACCTAAGGACCGGAGGATGACTAAAAGTGCTGGGTGGGTGCAGAATAGTGATCCATGGATGTTATAGGGCAGTGGGCGGTCAAGGGGCGTCCAAAATTACGGGTGGCCGTTTCTGGCCTCAAAAGCGGTCATTTTCGGCGTCAATCCCACAGGTTCCCATATTCTAGTTATAATTGTAGGGCAGATTACCAAGATACATATGATTATGTGCCCTGTGGATACATCTGCTGTGAATCTAAAACATAAATACTGCAAGTGTGTACAGTTTTCCCGGTATAAGAGGAAGAGATTTGGATTTGGACGAACATCGTCATTATATATATTGTACTGTTCACCGCAGCTCCGAGTACAGATAATCCAGGTACGGAGTACAACTGGACCAAAAGATAGGGCTACGTCACATTAATTTCTTTTTTTAGCTTTGAAAGTCGATGTAATATGTATAATATGTATATATATAGGGGAAAAAGAAAAAGTAAAAGTGGTTATAAAGGTCAAGTGTTGAATACTATAAACATACTATACAATAGTGCATATAATTAATCTCTTGTAATAGTATATATATAATGGATGTTATATATACCTATAGGTAAATATATACCTAGGTATACAACAACAGTATAAAAAAGAGCCAAGTTTTTTTTTTATTTTCCTACGTCATAACCCCCCCCCAGGTGCATCACGCCCCCAGTCCACTTTTTCCTTCCTTCATCCACTCCCATCCACTCCCATATCGATCCAAGCAATGAATGGGCCTGGTACAGTCTGTGTCCCTAAGTTCTCAACTCTCTCACTCGAACACCTCAATATATATCGGTTTCCTCCTCCCCCTACATTGGATGATACACCGCCTTAACCTTATTCGTCTTCAACTTCATCTCTTATGATTCTAAAATCCATTCTCACCTCATATTCTAACCTTGGGCCCTTGGCATAATCTGTTTTTCTTTTCCTTAATTCCCTTAACCACCCCCACCCGCCAACATCTGACCTCCCCCCCATTTGCGCCCTAAGTCAAGCCATAAAACGCCTCACATCGTTCCATCCCATCCCCCAACCCACGATTATTGATATCCTTTTATACCCTTTCCCTCCACTCGCGGAGGTGCGAGAATGGGGGATGTCCATAGTAGGAGGAGTCCTCCATTCCCTTCGCCAACAGAAACACTTCCACCTGCAGTGCCCCAATCTCATCATATGCAGCCTCTCAGATCGCCTGGTCATCGCCCCCACACATGGACATCAATCCCAAAAGTTGGTGGACGAACTTGCGGATAGGGTAGATGCTCTTGAGAAGTCATCTCTCCAACCATCTCGGTTATCACGCGGTGACTCTACAGAGCAGGTTATTGGCCTAACACCCATCACCGAGGACGCACGATCGGAAGCCGAGCGACAGGAGGATCAAGGACGGAGTTCGCATACCCTCAAGGAACTTCGAAAGCAGATGGAAGATCTCCTTGTATACCAACAGATGCAGCAAACCCAACCACTTCCGTCCCAGAGTCAACCCGTCTCCGCCCTTTCGAATGATACCCCAAGAAAGAGACGCTTGTCCAATACCTCAACGGAGGCTCCAGCCCCCATCGTGCATACCTCCGCAGGCTCGGCAGGTTCAGCAGGCACAATCAAAGGTGTCCAGACAGAGACACTTTCCGATCGGAAACCAGCACACACGCCGTCGTATCCTTTCCCACATATTCCACACATCCAGAACAAACCAACCAAAATGGCGATTGAACCAACAGCGCGTGGGGGATCATTTAGATTGAAGCTCCCATCTGAGAAATCTCAATCGCCAACACCAACCTCACAAACTCTACCAGAACCAAAAGCTTCGGAACCGCGTCCAACCTTTCTGCCCGCTCATTATAACCAAATCCAGGAAGATCCGAATTTTGTCAGCCCCAATTTATATGATCTGACCCTTCAGCTGAATGCGGATACGGGACTCGAATCGTGGTGGTCCAACCTTATTGATATATTGCAAACGCATTATGGAGCCGAGCGGGTGTCACTCGCTGTCCCTGGAGATGTGACTGATTTGGAGAACGTACCTTGGGGACAAAAAGCTATTTTTAACCAGAACGTTGATACATCGTTACATGAACTTCGAGCGCGTCATATGGAGAAGGGATCATCAACGGAGACACCTCAGTCACGCAAAAACGTCACACAACAGAAAACCGAGACAGTGTCCCAGCAGGCTAAAATGCCTGGATCTTCCCGGCCATCTTTATTATCGCGGCACTCATTCGCTGGGTTTGATAAAAAGAAAGGCCACACCCCCCACGATCCCAACCAGCCACAAGTTTCGAAGATAAATGTCAAATCTGAGAAAAAGCACGTACAAATCGCTTCCCCAAACCCGTCATGCACAGATCATCTGATAGGAGAGAACCCCGAAGCCAAACACGATAAAATTGACAGTCTCCTCGGCAGTATGCGGCAGGCTGTCTTCCCCATACCCAGACCATTGGAGGTAGAGGTAGATCCTCTCATCAAGCGCACGGGTGTGGTCAGGTTATTTGGGCGTACCCGTCCCACCATCTTAACACGTGAATATACAGAGAGCGCGCAACATCCACAGCGTTGGACCGAGTCCGCCGACAGTCCGAATGAGATGGTTCAAATTACCCCTGACGTCGAGGGTCCTGGTGACGGGGGAATCGGGGGTGTACCGATGCAGCAAGGCCTCGGTGTCAGTGGATGGAAGCAGTACGATGAATACGAGCAGATTCCGCAATCTCCGTGGTCTCAGTCCCCTGCCCCTTCGCCCGCTCCTCGCACACATGCAGAGCACAATCCGTTCTTCACAAGCCATTCAGTCGATGAAGAGGCTTTCTCCAAGCATCCGCCTTCACACGACTACTCTAATAATCGTCCACTAGAAGCCATTGGGATCGATCAGTCCAAGACCGTTATCCACATTCCTCTGTTACATGGTGGTCACTCTAACCGGGATTCCTCATCGACATTGAGATTCCCTGTTGCCGTTGTGTCGATGTTATGCACAATCGTCCCGTATCCTCCTAACCTCAGGCAATCACTTTCATTTCTGATGCCGCATTTGACAACTTCTTTCTGCTTGGCTCAGCGATATAGCCAGCTTGAAAGACAACTCTCATCCAAGATTGAAACCCCCCGCTATGGTCATCTTTTGGGCCTCGGGGGCACTTTCTCGGATGCAAGCAGTGAGCTAGAGCTTGTTGCGGGACTAAGCGGTCACGTCAGCTATTCCGTTGGCGACAACAACAACCCAATGTCCGCGCACACGAGCATCACCAGCCCTAGTGATCATTCGTCTGTAAAGTGCAGTCCTGCTGTTTCTGCTATGGGGACTCCTGGATTTGATATTGGGCATATTGGATTCGGGTCCGCAAACCAATCTCCCGGAGTGGCTTCACGATCGGGCGCAGAAGCTGCTGACAGCTACTTCAATGTCCCTCAAAATAAAAACCCCCGAGACAATGCATCCCAAAACAGACCACGGCTCCTCAAGTCGAAGACCACCAACATTGACTCATCAACGCCAATTTCTCCTGACAAGGTGACCTCGAAACCAACCATGAATGATGACAACAACCTACAAGATCAACCTTTTTACGTCGCATCACCACTGCAAGACACCAGGCCGCCGCCCAATGTCCTTCCACCAACCCAGCAATCATCACGTCAAGCCTCTACAAACTCGTTGTATGCTCAACTGCAGCGGGAGCTCCCGCGCCCGTTCACCGACACGATAGCCCAGCTGATGCTTAATTCGATCCCATTGCATCTTTTCCTGGCAAAACCCCAGAGTGGCGAGGTTATTTGGACCAATTCCAAGTTCGATGCCTACAGAAGAAGTCAACACCAAGAGCAAAAATTTCGAGACCCTTGGCAGAATATCCATAGCAGCGAGAGTGAGCATGTACATGTCAAATGGGCCAATGCCTTGCGCACCGGTGCACAGTTCACGGAAAGAGTGCGGGTCCGAAGATTCAATGATGAATCGGCATATCGCTGGTTCATTTTCCGGGCCAATCCGCTGTTATCATCAACAGGAGAGGTACTGTACTGGATTGGCTCCTTTCTTGACATTCATGAGCAGCATATTGCTGAGCTAGAGGCAATTCAAGAGAGGGAAAAGTTTGCGATTGATGCAAAGTATCGTGCATTCTCCAACTCGATCCCACAGGTTGTGTTTGAGGCAACGGAGAACCGCGGATTGATATTCGTCAATGAGCAGTGGAATCTGTACACCGGCCAACCCCTCGAGGAGGCGCACGACCTTGGCTTCGCTAAACATGTTCATCCTGACGACCTCGATAAGTGTGGTGAACTGTCCCTCAACAAAATATCTCCGAACGCGGACCAAAATGAAAATGATAGCGGACCTTATGAGTTCATGGTCGGATCTGCTCTTGATGAACTTGTGAGGCGTGGAATTGCTTCTTTGCAGCAAGACGAGAATGGCCGTGTATTCTATTCCACCGAGATCCGCCTCCGTTCTCGAGGTGGCGATTTCCGGTGGCATTTGGTTCGTGTAGTACGTGTCAAGACCAGCAGTTTCGGGAGCGAGGAAGCCTCCTGGTACGGAACATGTACCGACATCAACGACCGCAAAAACCTCGAAAGGGAACTTAACAAGGCCATGCAGCAGTTGAATCACCAAATGGAGTCTAAGACAAAGTTTTTCAGCAACATGTCACACGAGATCCGAACCCCGCTCAATGGCATTCTTGGTACTATTCCGTTCATCCTGGACACGCAGCTTGATAGTGACCAGAGGCGGATGCTGGACACCATCCAAAACAGCTCCACCAATCTTCGCGAGTTAGTTGACAATATCCTTGATGTTTCCCGCGTCGAAGCTGGCAAGATGTCAATGGTCAAATCCTGGTTCCATATCCGATCAATGATCGAGGATGTAATCGACACCATCGCCTCACGAGCGATTGATAAGGGTCTCGAAATCAACTATCTTATAGGCGAAGACTTGCCATCGATGGTGATTGGAGATCGGTTCCGAATTCGTCAAGTCCTGATCAACCTTCTCGGAAATGCAGTCAAATTCACTGCCCAGGGTGAAATCCATATCTGTTGTGACATGTATCGGGATCCATCTGCAAATCCCAATGACACCCAGGCATTCATGAACTTCGAGGTCGTGGACACCGGAAAGGGGTTCAGCTCCCAGGACGCGGAACGACTGATGCAAAGATTCAGCCAGCTCGGAGAAAATGGGACGCAGCAACATGCAGGTAGCGGCTTGGGGCTTTTCCTGTCCAAGCAACTCGTCGAAATGCATGGCGGCAAGCTCACTCCCAGCAGCAAAGAGGGTCAGGGTGCAAAGTTTTCTTTTAACGTCAAGGTCGATGCTCCTCCGCCACCTTCCCCTTCTGAACAGCCCAAATTGATGCGCCAGAGTTCAACTGCTTCGAGAAGGCCGGCGAAATCTAGAACAACCTCTTATCAACAAGCACCTCCCCTAGCTCCCAGAAACTCCGACCCATCCGACAAAAGCTCTGATATTACCCTTTCTGCCTCGCTGTCAATTACACCCTCTGCTCTCCCGACCCCAGATATCGGATCCGCGCCCCTGCGGCCTCCATTGGAGCAGACAACCACTTTGGGGAATCTGCCAGATGCAGTCTCGAATCCAAGAGTCCAACCTGCCGTTACAAAGCCCAACACACAGGGCGGCGTTGTGTCGCCTACGTCTCAAACATCTGCCTCTTCGGATACACCAATAGGACCAGTATCTGTGCCCGTCAATGGTCCTTTCTCCATCGTAATCCTATGTCCGCTCAAAAACTCCCGGCAAGCCATAAAGCAGCACATTGAGCAGGTCGTCCCTCATGAGATTCCGTTCAAGGTCACAACGTTAGTTGATGTTGATGAATGGAAAGATGCGATGCACTCTGCTTCCGATGCCCAACCCTGCACACATCTTGTTTTGAACCTTCCAACTGATGATATCTTGGAGGTCATTCAAAACATGTCAGACCCAGCCTTGGATCCCGCGCCCGTCGTCGTCATAATTGCAGACCTTTACCAAAAGCGTCAAATCAGTTCACGGGTCAAAGAGCTTGCAGCTTCAGGAAAGCAGGCTTTTATTGTGCCAAAGCCCGTCAAACCTTCTGCTTTCTCAAGTATCTTCGATCCCAAGAGCAAGCGCGAGCTGAGCAAGGATCGGAACCAAGACATGGCGCGCGAGATCAATAACAACTTCAAGACTGTCTCCAAGATGGTCAAAGAAGTTTTGGGCAACAAGGGTTATCGAATCCTGCTCGTCGAGGATGACGAAACTAATCGAGATGTAAGTTATCTATGGGAACGTCGTTGAATTGATTGCTAACTCATATATAGGTCATGTTGAAGTATTTGGACAAGATCAAGCTGATGTCGGAGACTGCATCCAATGGACTGGAATGCACTGACATGGTGCTCTCTAAAGAGCCGGGGTATTATTCTCTCATCATCGTGAGTTTTACTGCACACCCTTTCTTCCCCCGCAAAGCTAACCACCTCGATTCGTAGTGCGATATTCAGATGCCCATCAAGAACGGTTACGATACCTGTAAAGATATCCGTGACTGGGAGCAAAAGAACCATTACCCACAGATTCCAATCATGGCTCTTTCAGCAAACGCAATGACCGATCAAATTGAAAACGCTGCCCGCGCAGGTTTCAATGACTACGTTACCAAGCCGATCAAACACAATGAATTGGGCAAGATGATGATGGGTCTTCTTGAGCCCGGTCGCCCACTCATGCTTCTGCGAGATCGTCTTAGCCCAGAACAACAACAGACCATCGCTACTCGCCGCTAGGGACTTCCCCCGGGTCTTTGCCTGCCCTGGCCACCTTCGCCCCTTTCATCTTTGCTGCTTTAATGGCATGTCTTTGTTCTAATATTTCCTTTATATATATATATATACATATATAGCCAGCCGTATTCCACCTCTCCGGTTCTTGCATTTGATATCCTTACGGTGGGACCACAGAGTGATGTTTCGGTGATTCGTTTTTGATGGAAACATCCTTTTGGATTCGGTGAATTGCGCAGGAGGGTGATTCGAAGCTCGCTAAGCACGCATGAAGCGTGCTCGTTCACATTTCTGGGCTGATCTCACCATTTTGGAAGTTCCATTGCGACATTTTGCATTTGCATAGGGTCAGGAGGGCATCTATCTATGTATCCTTCCGTCGTTTTCTCTACTCTACCCATTCAAGAGTACAGATGCCCTCCGCCCTCCACCCTCCGAGCCTGTGCATCGTGGCGTCAGTGCTCTAATTCTCTCTTGATTTTGCGTTTTACTGAGCAAGTAGAATCCCTCTTGTTTTTTGTTTCTTTTTGGCCTTTTTCTTTTTACTTTCTTGTGATACCAGATTATGAGCGTACGGCACCTATCTATTTTCTGGATCTGTATTTGTTAATAATCCAACTCTTTTCTCTTTCCTTCTCTGTTTTCTGCGGTTCAATATCCTCTCTGCTTTGGCGTTTGGTGTATGGAACATATGGAACATGATGCTAGGTACTTGGGCTTCTCGTGGATACTTTTATCTTATGGGCGTTTGCAAGGTTGACATATATATCGTCATTGTATCACTTGCTAGGATAAAGTAGCCAAGGCCTCAATAGTAAGTACCCTCTATATCTGCCTGTTTAATACAGACTACTAATATAAACCATTAAATAATGATTACAAGAGGCTGGGAAACTACTCCAATATAAGGTGCCATTAGGCACCAGAGGTACATTGTAAAGACCTAGTGCACGGCGTTATAGATCAATGTAAAGTTGACAAGTAAAAACCAATCAGACATAGTATACAAGATGAACTAGACCTTATACTACGGGAGTAGAGAATGAAAATTCCCAAAAAGGGAAAGCGAGTGAGTTGGCCACGGCCCATGTGGCGGTGAAGGACGTAGAAAATCCCCGCAACTCCCCCCACTTGTGCGCTGGAAAATTAATAAACGGGTTCGATCTTGGATTGACCATGAATTGATCAGGATTGATTTGACTGGAATTTGGGGTTCGAATTCGAATTTGACGTATTTGAAAGAGGTAAAGGTTGTAAACATGGTCGGTTCAAACTTGGACATACACTACCCAGATAGCCCTAGACAAAAACACCCATTAATTGAACGACGTAGTCAATAAAAGCAGGCACAGATACAATTCTTCTCAATATTCGGACCAAAACAGCGGGCTAGTGTAACCTATGCGAGGAAACCTTGCTGGCATAGTACCTATACGGAGTATATTAACATTAGGAAGGATCAAAGCAACACGTCTTGGAGTCTGAAGTCTGAGTTAAAGGAGGGGCGGATCAGGACTGAGTTGGTGGAAAGTCTATAACGAAGAACGAAAGGATCAAAAAGAAAAAGGAAAATGTATGGCCCATTCCAAGCCGAAGTGTGTGCACTGTGCGTCATTAGTTGCCGTGCTGCCCGATGTTCGTCTGGCCGAATAAGAGATCGAGCTCAGCCATTTTCAGCATAAAGCGAGATGAATAGCAATCCCTGCAATATTCATCGAACCAGGGTTCTCGATGGCAGATTGGGAATGGAAGAGGGTGGTGTCACAGGGTTCCTCGGTAACATTGTGGGTTGACGGGGCATATTGTGAGTCGTCAGGCTGTAAGGCATGGATGTTGGCTTTTAGGCACGGTGAGGCATCAACAAACGGGAGAGAAAAAAAAGAAGAAGGAGACTTAGTCTAAGGCCAGCAAGGCAGATCCAGATCCAGTTTAGAACACCCGGACCTCGAAGGATGTGCCCTGCAGTGCCATTTCCTTCCCATCTAGTTGGGCCTGCGTGGTGTGCATGTCAGCAAGTATCTGGGACCAATGATGAAGGGTCGTGGGCGGCACAGCATTTTCTCTCATGGTATTTCCGACGGGGCTTGCCGGATGGCTTCCCTTTATCATACAGGCCCCATAGCTATCGTCAAGCAAGTCATCGGCCATCTGCATAGAGTGGGGGCCAGCTGCGTGCTCTCTTCCCACGTTAATGGGCGTCTAGAGCGCTTGTCGATGCAGCAGTTCTCTTTATTCTGCTGTCAATGGATCTGATGGCTATTGGTGGATTTGTGCGAGAAGGGGGGCTTTCTTGTCGTTGTGCAGCAATAACAGCCGCATCCAGGCAGGCAAACAGAGGGATAAGGATGAATGTTCACATTGTATTTTTTTGATATTTTTTGACTTCTTCGTCTTGTCATTCGACCTGGACTTATTGCGCATTGGTCGCACCACTTTGCCTTTCTGCTCATATATTGCCGGGATGGTTCTTGTTAGAACCTTGCAAGGGAAGCATGGAGTCACTGATTCGGGAACAGTTTCGAATGCCAATCTTTCTCGCGGTCCTTTAGTTCATGCAGTGATGTCCAACAATATCCGTGTGACCTGAATTGAATGCAGCGATCCTCATTTTTGGGCTCTTGGGCTCCGATCCCTAAGATGATGTAAGGCCGCGAGACATCCCGATCTTGGGGATTTTTGCGGAATGGCGTACTTGACCACAACTATACAACTCCAACATTGGTATATTTGTATGTGCATAGAGAAATGATAAACTAACCATCGTGTTAGACCGGGACAGTTAGAAGGGGAAATATGTCATACCGGTTCTTGTGTAGTTCGTCTTATCTTTGGGGCTTTTGTTGAACGAATCAACCTTGATCGTCCTCTTCCCAGCCCCCGAATTTCTGAAGAGAAAAAGTCAGTCTAACCGGGATGAGGGCAGAAAAAAGGGATAATTATGAGAGATGAAAGAGAAAAAAAAGTCAAGAAAATGTGGGCGAAAGAAGGACGGCTAAGGTGATATTTATATCTCACCTTCCCACCAACTCCACCCATCCTACCCCCTTAAAACCTACCCTCCATGTCCTTTCTAGTCAATTCCTGAATACCTCCAGTCCACGCTTTGGCCCCGAGAGTTAGACCAGGAAGAGGGGCGTAGATCGAGACCGGATTTGCAACACGCCGCCACGGAATGGCGGAAACCCTAGTGGAGGAAGGCTGGCGTCCTCGACCAGACACATTGAGACTTTTTTCCACTCTGAGCGGGGTCAAGGCGGTCCAAGAGGCAAATCGGCGGGCAGATACGGAGACATACGTGCAGACGGAGCTCGGGGATTGGGGGTACAGAGGGAGGGGTGCGAGTCAATGTGCCCCGAGTGGTCCAATGGCTCCTTCGAGGCCTTCGCAATCCTTGCCATCACACTCGCCTCCGCCAGGATGGGAGCATCCGCCGGACAGAAGATTCCCCGCCGAAGGTTATAAAATCCCTCGTCTGGCCCGGGGGAGACTGTCCTTCCTTCTTCTTCCTTTCCCATCACTCCTAGTTAGGCCCGTTTGCACATCCTTCCACATCCATTCAATCTTCTTGCTTCATCTTACCTTACTGAAGTCCACTTGAGCTTCATACTTCTTCTTTACTCCACTATAACACTTGCTCTTGTTGCAGTCAATCGTCGCCATGGCCACCCAGCGTCACTATTACCAGCCTACTGCCTACCCATACCACCATGCACCCTCCAAGGCGCCGACACCGGCATCTCTCTACCCAATTTCCAGAGTATCTGGCTCCCCACCAGACTTCTCTGATGCAAGCACCACCGCCGGCAGTCGTTCGTCTGGCGGGCTTACCTTCAGCTCTGCCGGCGAGTACGACTCCAGTTTTGCATCGTACTCCGGTGTGGATGTTGTGGATGTCCTGAGCGACCGCATGCAGGACGCATTTGATCCAACCCCATTGGACAAGGGTCTAGCACGCCAAGCGCAGACGTGAGTTTCCCTGCAACACTTTCTCAGCATTCGCAATGCCACCCCCTCAGCGACCACCACCAGGGGATGGCGATGCACAAAACAAGCCGGAGCAAGACATCCCAAAATCCGCAAACACCAGCTAACAGAGCGTACACAACACAGATCTGGGCAGTTGAACGCAAAACAGCAAGAACTCCTCGAGCTCCAAGCTCTCGCGCAACGGCGACTGAAAGGCGCACGGGCGAATTTCTCCGAAGGCCTAAAAACCGCGCGAGAGACAAAGCGCGACCTGGAATGGACGCAAAAGCGCGTCAGGTAAGCAAATCCGTCCCTAGAACCGGGCAATGTGGTACGATGGACGTGCAAGTTCCGCTCCGCTCCGCGACTGGGGCTTCCGCTCCGCCGGGATGAGCTTGGCACGTGCACGTCGATCAGCGCCGTGTCTGCGGCATTAGCGCCAATGAGTGGTGCTTCTAGAAGGCTGACACACGTGGCTGGAAATAGTGCCCTGAAGACTAAGGCCGAGAAGGCCCATCCTGATGAGTACCGGCGTTCTTCGAAGAAGTACGCCTATGACGACTACTGATTGGGCCTTGTTTGGGCTGCGATGGGCTGCTTGATGACTGATATGATGGGGTAAACCTCCCCACTTGACATGGAAAAAATTGGGATCTTGGGATGGATGTGGGATTGTTTTTGGATATTTTGGTTTCTTCATTGGGTTTGGCGCGCTTTTGATTCTTTGGTTGGGCTTTTGTGTATATCTTGGATAGGTAAATTTGTGTCTCTTGACGTATAGTAGAGAGGGTTCTCTGAATGGTATTTGTTTTACCAGTTTTACCGTATGGCCTAGGAATTGCTGCCTTATAGGCCTGTAATATGAGGTCTTGAAATATGCCTGAATCTCTCTGGGACTGTAGAGCACCGTTGATAGTTTTATGGTATGCTGTTGTGTAACTGCACGCTGACACTGAAAACTGATTGATGTATCTGGCCTGACACACTGAAACGGTTGTTACTTACATGTACAATTTAATACGAGCCCAGTAAAGGCTGAAATTCAAAGGGAGTTTAGATACCCAGTCACTTGACTTCTATAAAAGGCCTGCAGTGTTTTGGGCTTGAGCGTTTGCAAGTAGTCAACACAACGTTTTAGGCCGCGCATAGCGCGTCCTCTCCCCTTGCTGTACCCTGGTGATTAGTCCCATGCTGACAATCTATATAGGAACTTCGTATAGTCCTTAAATAACGCGGCGTAGAGAGCATTACTATAGTATCTACCCTAGCCGTTAACGTCGGCGCCCTAGTCTAGTAGTATCTACACTACCCTTTTATAGCCTCCGTACGATGCGGCCGGAAGTGTATTACTAAACCGCCTACCCTAGGCGTTAACGTCGGCGCCACGGTCTAGCAGTATCTATACCACCTTTTTATAGCCTCCCGTATAATACGGCCTAAAGCGCATTGCTATAGGATCTACCTTAAGCATTCACCGCATTCGATGAACCCCCGTCCGTTATAACCCTTTATAAGATATTATTTAGGACGGATTCTAATCCTAATAAAGCTGGGTAGTACAGTAGTATAGTGGCAAAGCTATATCCGTAATAGCCTAATAGGACGATTATAACCTACCTCTATATACGGACAGACCTTATCATATAACCGTATCCATGCCACGAATGCCTTTAGCTCATCTTTGAAAAGCTTCGATACTAATGGTTCAATTGAGATCTTCCCTCGAGATTGAGTAATGATGAAACCAATACATAGCCACGAAATGAGCCAATGGGAACTCTATGAACTTTGCCTCGTCTAATGTCCCCTTAGAGAGAGTTGGCTCCAGGAGATAGACCAGGCCGTATTCCCAGGCGCGCACTTCGCATAGCGAATATCTTGTGGTGGCCTTAGGCCCCACATTGGTGCCTCAGACATCAACACTTCCCCAGTAGATATCTAGCAGTTTCTCCCTCTCAATAGCAATCAACTCTCTCCCTCCTCTCTTTCTGGACCCTATAATCCGTAGATCAGTATTCAGGATGACTCTGACATGGATGTTGAAAGGGGTATTGTGCAGTATGGTGAAACAACCTGTTTCAAAATTCAAGTCATTCAAGAGACATGTTGTTTCATGAGAAAGCAAATCAACCTTGGAACTCATATGAAATATTACAAATGGATCTGATTTAGCCGGATGAAGATCACGGTACGAAGTGATGAGGGACTAATCTTTTTTTTTTTTTACCACACTTTTTTCATTCTATCTTCTTTAGGCCCCTGATCTAGGACCATAAAGCACGTGGACCGGTATGGGGCTACGGCCTCAATTTTGAGATCTCGGGACTCCCCGTTCCGGCAAAGCGTCGGACCTAATTCCAAAATCCGAGATAGCCCTTGAAACGTTTTGGCCAAAGTAAAACCCTTAGCGAATGACACGTCCAATCATGCTATGTTAGAGACCGTGTTTGCGGTATTCGACTTCAATTACCTCGGCCTACCTAGGTAGTATAGTTCTATCGGGAACCCTCTTTTTCAGATCTTGACCCACTACTGTGCGTTACCACTGGATTAGGTATCGAGAACCGGAGAAAAAAGAACATGAAACGGCTTCTTGTTAGAGAAAACAAGTTTCCAATTATTGAGAAAGCAGACAGGTTAATTATATCCAATGAACATGGTCGTACCGAAGTTTCCTTCATCTACTTTTTCGAGCCCGGAGTACCCGGCGAACGGATATAAGGCTAGCGCTGGTACCTGTCTGAATTATTTCCAATTACTAGAAAGGAGACTGGAAACCGCTCTTTTGCTTGTTATTCCCTTGCGCCCATCATGAAGTTCTCTCTTCTCGCCTTGGCTCTGGCAACTGCCGCCTTTGCAAGCCCTATGGATATCGATACTCGCGCTCGTAAGTTCAGGCTCTCTGCAGATATTTTTAGATTAACTTACATATCGATTCTACTTAGTTTCCGAGGGAAATGAATTGCGCAATGGTGACTGTAAGGATATCACCTTCATCTTTGCCCGTGCCAGTACCGAGCCTGGCCTTCTGGTATGTTTCCTACTCCTTCAAATTTTATGTAGATACTAACACATCCAAATGACAGGGTATGTCCGTCGGACCTGCTATCTGCAACGATCTGAAGACGTCGAAGCCCGGCAAGGTTGCTTGCCAGGGTGTTGGACCCAAGTACACTGCGGATCTGCCGTCGAATGCACTCCCCCGCAACGCCTCGCCAGTCGCCATTGCTGAGGCCCAAGGTCTATTCGAGGAGGCTGTGAAGAAGTGTCCCGACACCCAGATTCTTGCTGGTGGCTATAGGTTTGTTCTTACATACAAAAAGATTAAAGTACGAACCATACTAATTGTGCGAAATACAGTCAGGGTACTGCCGTCATGGACGGCTCAATCAAGAAGCTCTCCTCGGACGTTCAGGCCAAGATCAAGGGTGTTGTCCTGTTCGGTTACACCCGTAATGCCCAGGAGGGGGGCCAGATTCGGGGCTTTGACAAGGATAAGACCAAGATCTACTGTGCCGTTGGAGATATGGTCTGCCAAGGTACTCTTGTCATCACCGCCGCCCACTTCACTTACGTTGCGGACGCTGGCCCTGCTACTAAGTGGTTGGTGTCTAAGTTAGATTAGGAGATTTGAGGGATACCGGGCCCTTGTGGCTCCTTTTCTGTATATACTTGATGTGTTGCTGCTTCGCTCCTTGTCTGCAGCTTGGGACTAGTTCCTTTGTAGTGTTGGCACCTTGTTTCTGTATGTGGGAATTATGCAATATCAGTACATGTAAGACCTACCCTCAAAATTCTACCTGCTGTCGTCCTATAGTATAGGGGTAGTTTGACACAAAGGCGGTGTAAAATCTCTAAGGCGGTCTAGAGAGCGATGGGCAGAATCAGGCTTTAATTCAGTGTCGCACCCGATGTTGAAGGCGGTGACTGAATTTTCAGGCAGGGGAGAATTAGCAAGGGGGTCGATATATCAATTCCCTAAATATATTATTAGTTTTCTAGTATAGATAACTAACTAGTAAATACTTCTTATATAAGTCTTTTAAACCTAGGATTTCAAACAGCTATATATTTCTGGACTAATCTAGTGATAATCCCAGTTGTACTCAGCAAAAGAACGCCCGTTATAAACAACGTTTATTAGAAACTCTGTTCCTCCTCAATAGCGCGGTTGATGACTCGAACAAAGCGGCCAACCTTGTCAGAATCCTGTTTGGCTGTTTCAATACCCAAGAGGACCTTCTTGATGCCGACGCTCAAGCGTCCGTCATCCGCAAGTCCACCGACTGACTCGAGAGCTTGCGCAATCTCCTGTGCGTCAAATGCACCGGATTTCTCCATGACGAACCGTAGTTCACCGAAGGAACTAACATTGGGAACCATGATATCTGAGTTGAAGGAGTTGTAGATGTCTAGCTGCTTCATCAACGCACGCTCAGTTGTCGTGGCCAGAACCAACAGACGACGTCCGTGAGTCGGCTGCTTCCTCAGGAAAACCATGAGAGCTTGCAGCACGCTGTTGCTGAAGCGAGGACCAATCGGCACCCAGTCGATGATTCGCTCGATGTTGTCAATGACAACAATACTTGTAGAACTCTTGTAGGCGCTGTCAAAGATTCGGCTGATGTGTGAGATCTTTGCTGGCTCGCTAAAGCCAACCATGTCTTCAGGGCTGATCAACTTGATGAAGGGGAAGCCGGAGTCAATAGCAATCCGCGCTGCCAGGGCGGTTTTACCGCTACTAGGAGGACCGTGAAGTAGCACAGAGAACAGTGGGGTTGACTCAGCCACTCCAACCTGCTTGACGAATAACTCGCCTTCCCGCAGGATTTCGCTGATAGTTGGAGAGTAGTCGATAACGCCGTATGGAATGCGGCTGGACAGCTCTTCCTCAGACACACCAAAGGCAGGCTTGACTTCATCAAGAGAGTGGAGGAAGTCGGCCCGGTTGACCTTCATGTCTACCACGTCCTCATTGATACTAGCCATAGTACCGACTTTGACATGGCGGGAGAAAGCAAAGGACGAAGCAGACTTGACCAAACCTGCAATTTCAGCACCAGAAAAGTTTTTGGTCAAATGAGCAAGCTCGGTCAAGTCAACATCCGTATCCATGACATTATTGTTTCGCATCTTCTCAGTGTGGATGTTGAGAATCTGGCTTCGACCATGTTCGTCGGGGAGCGAGATTTCCATGTGCACTTCCAAACGACCGGGACGCAGCAAAGCCTCATCAATCATGTCCATTCGGTTGGTCATACCGATCAACAATATGTTGTTCAGTTGGTCGACACCATCGAGTTTCGAAAGGAGCTGGTTGACCACGCTGTCGCCGACACCGGTACCACCGCCAGCTCCGCTACCACGCTGCTTACATACTGCATCCAGCTCATCGAAGATGATGATATGGAGACCACTCTCGTCACCCTTTTCTTTATACTCCTTCTCGGCATCCGCAAACATCTTTCGGATATTTTCTTCCGACTGACCCACGTACTTGTTTAGAACTTCTGGACCGTTGATAATCTTGGGCTCCCTGGCATTAAGCATCTTTCCGATTTGTCGAGCAATGAGAGTTTTACCCGTTCCTGGGGGTCCGTAAAGCAAGAGACCCTTAACGTGCTGAATACCAAGTTTCTCGACCAGACCAGGAGGGAAAATGCGAGAGGCAAAAGCACGACGGAAGATCGTACTGAACTCAGAATCTAAACCACCGATACCCATGTCCTGGAACTTGAAGCCTGGTTGGATGATAGAATTGGCCGCCGGGCGGCGGTTAGATGGCTTCACGTTGATACCGGTCTGAGTATCCTTAAAAAAGTTGAGTTGAGTGTGCCGCGTGAGAATACCCCTAGCAATAGGATCGGTCTCAACTTGTCCAGAACTGAGATCAGCCTTCTCTGATGTCAAATCAACCCTCTGAACGGTCTTGACCTGTAATAAGAGCGGGATGCTCTTATTATCCATCAGAATTCTCTGGCCAGGCGAAAATAGTTGGTTCTCAAAGTTCTGGGGTTTGTTAGCATGTATTCAGGACTGGGGGACTGGTCGACATACCCTGATCACCGCCTTTGCCAATTCATCCTGGTCGTAAGGAGCCTCAACCCGCTTCTTGGTAGATGCGAAGCTGACTTCAACATCCGCAGAGCCTAGGTAGGCCTGTCCGCCTTGGCTAAACGGATCGTACAGCTGCACCTTGATGGCATCTCTCAATCCGATGTTGGCCCATGTCCGCTGAGGGTCCGACATGCTCATATAACCGGAAGGGAAACCGTCAAGAGGGCGGGCAGAGAAGACGAAGAGGTCATTGATAAGGAGGAGAACGTCGGTGCCATCTCGTGAAGGCGGGATGTCCTGCGGCGAAACAGCGACGCTACTGCGTGTTAGCCCCCAGGAATAAAAATCCCGCAGAGAATACTCACAGATTTCCAAATGTGTAGTTTTCGTTCGGACTCTTGCTGGGATGAAGAGTCCAAGTCTGGCCTCCACCTCTTTGTCCGGACTGCATCCTAGAAGGCATCTGCTGCTGCGGCGGTCTTCCTCCTGGTGGAGGTGGGCCTCCGTAACCCCTTATATCGTTATACACATCAGTCATCGCCACATCATCATCACAAATCCGAGCTGCATAGCCTGCACTGGACGAGGGGGAGTGATCGGTATCATACCGTGGGGGTGCTTGGTTGGGGTTCGGATGACCCTGCGGGGAGGCTTGTCCGCTGGAGCCGAACGGATTCGGGATATTGCCGCGATTGAACATGATGAACCGTTTGATTGGCACTAATCAGAGAGGTTGAGGTGAGAACGGTTGAAGCTATTGTTTTGACACTGTGTCGGGAAAGGAGCAGGCAGCTGTGTAAGTCAGTTGGCCCTGCAGCTCGGGTGACCTGGGGTCAATTCTCAAATTTTTATGTTCAAGAATTTGTTGGATATATGCTGATATCCAAAGCAAATCAAATTTGAAGGGAAGAGAAGAGAGTTGGAGTCACAAAGCTGTCGACGGGGCATTTGGCCACCCCGGGACCAGCGTCGGGCCGTGGGGACGTCATTATCGATAAGACCAGCTCTTTGCTATCTACAACATAGCAACCTCCACACAAGGGTCAGTTTCCAACATGCCTCTGTAAGTTGGGCTTCTTGTTTCGATTCTTTGATATCTACAAATTTTGCTAATTATTTTATAGCCATCTCCTCGGCAAAAAGTCATGGAACGTCTACAACGTCGAGAATATCGAACGTGTCAAGCGCGACGAGGCGCAAGCAAAAGCTCGCGAGGAAGAAGATGAACGTATTATGCAAGAAGTCGATGCCGAACGCAGGATTAAAATTCTTCGCGGCGAACGTCCGCCTACACCTCCACCAGCGCCCTCCCATCTGTCGTCCGAACCCGGTCATCGATCAGACAGAAAGCCCGCCGGCGACACTGGAGGATTTCGTAAAAGAAGGCGTGTTGCCGGGGAAGATGATACGGATCGAGATATACGATACGCTCAGGAGGATGCGGCACAAGCAATTGCTAAGCGAGAAGAGTTGATTCTCGCCTCTCGCAAGGCTGATACAGCACAGGCACCGATTCTAGACGAGGCCGGCCATATCAATCTGTTCCCAGTCGCAGGTGCTAAAACAGGGAAGAACCCCGAAGCAGAGGCTGAAACTGCACGGAAAAAGCGCAGCTATGAAGACCAATACACAATGAGGTTCTCCAACGCCGCAGGCTTCAAGGAGACTGTTGGTCGGAAACCGTGGTATTTCTCCTCGGAACAAAATGCAACAGCGCCAGGGGCGATGCCCGAGAAAGATGTGTGGGGTAACGAGGACCCAAGACGCAAAGAGAGGACACAGGCTCGTATGAGTGCGAATGACCCACTCGCGGTCATAAAGCGGGGTGTGCGTCAGTTGAAAACAACAGAGCAGGAACGGAAACGGTGGAATGATGAGAAGCGAAGAGAGATCGAAGCTTTGAAAGCTGAGGAGGTACGGAGGTCAGGTCATCGGCGAAGGCGATCCGCGTCAGTGGATAGCCTTGATGGTTTCAAACTAGATGCGCCGGACAGGGAACGTGAGAAGGACAGAAGAAGTTCTGACAGACATCATCGTCGCCGTCGAGATCAAAGCCGAGATCGCTCTCATCATCGCTCCCATCACCACTCCTCTCACCGCAGTCATCGTCAGCGCCACGATGGACGTTCTGAGGCTTCCAGGCGGGAAAAACATTCTGAAGCAAAGAATTAATCCTGGATATTCCATTTGTTCTACGAGATCATGACTCAAATTACGACAACGATACCCATTATTATGTTGCTTGTTACTAAACGTACATCAAACGTAGTTAAATGGCCCTTTTAAGCCGTTATCGCCGATATTCTATTCCTGCTACATCTGAAAAAGACAACCAAAAAAGACATCACGAGGCCGCAAACCTCATTTTTATATTCACTGGGTCAAATAAACCTTTTCTATGCAGGTGGTCATATCTCTTTTAGTTCATCAGAAAACGTATCAGAAGATCGCTCGATCCTATACGAGGCTCCATAGCTGGACCCCCTTCTCATTAGCATCGGACTCCCATTGAACACTGATGTCCACCCCCCGAGAGCCCTTCTCAGCCTTCTCATAACCGATTTTGCCGGTGATGACTTGGCCCTTCTTCAAGGCCTGGGAGCCTTGCTTAGCATGATCCTTGGCGTGGTCGATGAGAAGGACAGTCTGTTGCCAGTGGGTCTCGGTTCCATGAGGACCAGTAGTGAACGAGACAATTCCCTTCTTTTGCATCTCTGAGGGGATGGCATCCTCGGGCAGAACAGACTCTCTGGAGGGCATGAAGAAGATGTCGAACCAGATAATCCATCCATCCAATGCATCAACATCCTGGTTCAACGTGACCTGGAATTCCTTCAAGAACGACAGCTCCTCAACAGTGATGGTGTGCAGCGGAAGTGTCAAGAATATCTGAGACTCTCCGACAACGGTCGTGGACTGGTTGCTGCGAACTACAGCCTCATCGTAGATCTTATGAAGCATGCTGTCCATCTTGAAACCGTAGACGTTGTTCCAGAACGAGATGTGCGACGCGATGAAATCCGAGTCGGCGTAAGGGGCGAGGCGCAGGGTAGCGTGAGAAGGAGCCATAAGACCATCAGGAGCGAGGTAACGATCTCTGGCGTAGATGACAGAATCAAACATAGCCTCGAAAAGGAGGCCGTAACCCATCCATTCGGATATAATGATGTCGACCTTTTCGACGGGTAAAGTAACCTCTTCAATCTTGCCACGGATACACCTGGGATGGAGTCAGTACTTATCTCTTTATTGGGGAATGATTATAGGTCTTACGTGATCACATCTCCAAGGCCATTGTCGTGGACAATTTCCTTAGCCCGGTCAATGATGTTCGAGTTGTCGACAGCAATGACCTTCTTTGCGCCAGCCTTGGCACAGAACATGGACAAAATACCAGTGCCACAGCCAACATCAAGAACAACCTTGTCCTTGAAAACGTGCTTGTTTTCGTACACGAAATCGCGGTAAGAGTCGGTACGGATGGTGTCCTTGAGCATAGATTCGTGAATGCCTTTAGACTGTGTTAGTATCACATATATGATAAATCGAGCGAGATATCCTACCGTTGTAAGCGTAGGAGACGAAATATCCATCTTCAGCATCCTGCAGTCTGTCGACAGCCTTGGCCGAGGGCTGAGGGTTGGATTCAGCAAGCTTATCATCCTCCTTCGACAATTGGTCGTCCATTGACTTCTGCACAGCAAGGCGGTACTCGGAGAATTGGGTCTGCAATCGCTCCAAGTTCTCCTGGAGTTCGAGAACCTGTCGGTTTGTCTCGGTGGCAGGTGCGGCGTCTTCGCCCTGTTCTTCGGCAAGATCGTCCAAGCTGTACAAGAGAGCATCGTCCTCCAAAACGGGCTTGAGATAAACATCGTCCTCGAATTTGGACTTGGATGAAACATCAGGGGTGTTGTTTCCGCTCTTGACTTGGGTGCGGACGTAATTGACCAACTTAATGTTGTCAAGGAAATCCAAATCTAGAAGCGGAAAAATAGTTAGCCTCAATTGTTGGACCCCCACAAGAGTAGTAGAAGTTGCACATACCAAGATCTTTCTGGATCTTCAATAGATCAAAATTGTACTTTTCCTTGCACTCCTTTAGCATTGAGCGCGCATCGGGGAAGACCTGCTCAGTGAAGAGGCCAACCACAGGCTGCGACTCCTCATCGGGCTCGACATCTTCCCAGCCCTCCTCGTTGCTAGAATCGGAGGAATCTGATACTGAATGCGAGTCGGGGAATCTCTCACCCACAGGTGGATCCACGGTATTGGAAGCTGACATGACTTATAAATGGTCAATATCAAATTGTTTCAACCTTGGAGGGGAGGGGCAGAGATAGCAATTTGATAGAGAGGAAAAAATCCGTTATCAGCGGATGCCTCAGGCAGCAGGACCCCCGGTTGCCCGTTGCCCCGCCGTGGTTTGTTTATTCGCAACTTGCAGTCGAATACATCACATTTACTTCCCCTTGGACTGAATCTTGATTCTCCCGTTGCAATTATAACTTATCGCATGTCGCCTTAATCTCCAGTTTCTTTGTCAATTTGCCGCATATTCTCTCCATCTCACCATGGCTTTCTTTTTCAACCGCGGCCGGTCGCGGCAACCTGCTGATATCGTCCGGACAACCAAGGAATTATTACTGAGGATCCATGACTCCCATAATGCTCCCAAGGTTCGTTTGAAGACGTCAAACATGGAGAGAAGAATCCGACTAACCAATAAGCTAGGCCGAAGAGGAGCTGGCTAAGCAACTCAGTCAAATGAAGGTGATAGTACAAGGAACACCAGGTTAGTCTTCTGGAAGTAGTACCCAAGGCGCAATGTTGAGGAACTAACCCAATAATCTTCCCCTTCAGAGGTCTCCGCATCAGTGGATCAAGTCCATGCACTTGTCCAAGCATCTCTTCAAGAAGATCTACTTTTTGATCTATCCAAAAGCATCCATTTGCTTCCCTTCGAAGCCAGAAAAGACACCCAGACCGTATTCTCCCATATCCTTCGGTTCCGGCCTAATTCATATGGCGTCGAAAAGGATCCTCCAGTCATCTCATACCTTGTCCACCATCGGCCAGAAATCATTGTCGAGTTATGCCGTGGTTACATGCAGAGTCAAAGTGCAATGCCATGTGGCGTCATTCTCCGAGAGGCGTTGAAATTTGATGTCATTACCGCGATTGTATTGTACGACCAATCCAGTGAAGGAGAATCCGCGATACGACTATCAGACGTGAAGCCTAACCAACCGCAACGGGGGGATGGTGTTTTCTGGAGATTTTTTGATTGGATCGACAAGAGCAATTTCGAAGTCAGCGCAGATGCATTCACCACATTCAGGGTAAGGTCGAGATCGATGGCTATCTTAAGGTTAATGATAATATGGCTGACATATCTTTTACAGGAGATTTTGACCCGCCATAAGAGCCTCGTGACTTCGTACCTGGCAACCAATTTTGAACTATTCTTTGGGCGGTTCAACAACATCCTGATCCACTCGGACTCATATGTCACCAAACGTCAAAGTATCAAGCTTCTTGGGGAGATACTATTGGACCGTGCGAACTACAATGTGATGATGGCATACGTGGAGAGTGGAGATAATCTCAAACTCTGCATGAAACTGCTGCGAGACGACCGCAAGATGGTACAATATGAAGGATTCCATGTTTTCAAAGTAAGTTTGCCCTCAAATCGCTCCTAGTGCAGATGAGGGCTCGCTCTGACAAAGGATTAGGTATTTGTGGCCAACCCGACCAAATCGGTGCCGGTGCAACGAATTCTGATCAATAACCGTGATCGACTGCTGAGGTTTTTACCTAAATTCTTGGAGGACAGAACTGACGATGATCAATTTATGGATGAGAAGAGCTTCCTGGTCCGTCAGATCGAACTGTTGCCCAAAGAGCCTGTGGATCGGGCTCGACCAAGTCGCGACTCGCCATCAGCTCACACAGCTGCTGTGGCTTGAGTTGGATCTAACGCTGGGTCTGGGTCGCTGGCTTGACCGTTTCACGCCCTTATGATGTTTTTTTTTTTTTTTTTTCTTTTTGTTCTAAACTGGGGGCTTTTCCTCCCTTTGACTGCATTGAGCATTGACAGCTGATGGTTATCCAAGCCTCGGCTATAGGAGTTCCACGCTTGTGCATCTGGGGCGTTCAGGGGGAATTGGGGGGTTTGAATTGAATCTACTCTGTGTTGTCCACGTACTCCATAGTTGGGTATGCACGGATACAATTAACCAGATTTACCTCTTGATGTCACATACGTTGGGCAATGATTCTAATCTAAGCACCGTAGAACTTAGTGTACTCCACCACACTCCCTGTTCACGATCCACACGCGGCCCATAGAGGTGGGACAACCCCCTTGAATTCTATTTCAAGAGAGAAAGGAGGAAAGAGAGTAGAAATAGAGAATTGCTAGGGAAATATTAAGTTACGTGTCGTATAACTATGTAGTTGGTTAACTACATATGTAGTTTAGTTATACCTATGTAGGTAGTTATGTAAACGACAGGGGATGATATATGAAACCCCCGAAGATGTCCCCCGTTAAAAGTCCAGCATTGACTTGGAGAGACGCCAAGAACCGACCCAAAATAACTCCACTCCTCCAGGTATCTCTCAATTTTAATTCTGGAGATTCTGTTTTGCTGTACTTCCCTTGTGGTTTTCCCCTTGTCGCTCCTTTCTACCTACTTGGATCTCCATTTTCGCTTAACCTGCCCTCCCGTTTCGCCGTGTCCTTACACTCCTTACCTTCACGCGATTCTAGCCCACGCGCAGAGTCGCAAGTCATGCCGGGATAATGGTGAATGAGCTTCCTGCATCGTTATCGCCTGACCGATCGGAGTCCAATCCGACAATTCACGCCGTGCCCTTTGAAAATACCGTTGCCGCCCCTCTTGCAAACCGGTCGGTCTCGTTGCCCACAGGTGATGCGCCAATAGCCTCCGATGCCCGATCTTTTAGCACAAGCGCTGCGTCAGCCAGTTCGAGTGATGGTCGTGCATCCGCGCTTATGTTCCCACGGCTCGCGCCATCCGTTTCCGTTGGAGATGAAACTCGAACAATTCGATCGGAGGGCGCGCCCTCCTTGCGCAGCGTGCCCAGCATTCTTGTCAATGAACCAGGTTCCCGTCCCAGCTCACGGCCAGGCTCACGGCCGGGCTCTCGATGGTCAGAAAGAAAGTGGGGTGGTTTAAAGAAACGATCACTTGAGATGGAGAGGAAACCCAGCTCAGAAGAGCCTCCACCAGTGCCTCAGATCGAGCACCCCTTTGCTGGTATTCCCTTAGATATACCGACTGCTTCTTTGGATGGTCTGGATAAGCCGATGAAGTTTTCCAATCGCGGCAGTCTGATCAAGAGTGATGCGAAACGTCCACGCCCAAAAACCCCTCAGGAGAAGCTGGACGAGCACCCCGAGCCACAACCAGACCAACCGCCCCCGGAGAAGCCAGACGAGCAGCCCGAGCAACAATCAGATCCGCCCCAGCAAAACCTAGAAGAGAAGGAACCTCGTCAAGAGCTACGCCAGCCAGTTCAGGAAATATCGGAAGAGAATTGTGGTCCGCGGTTGGAGCGACAGACATCTGAAATTGCGCCGCCCCCTGCCATTATCATGACCCGGCCCGAAGGAGAAAATGGAACACCGAAAGCGGTCCCACGGCGCACCAGACCTCAAAGCACTCTTCGCCCGAGACAGACTAGCCTTCCGAGCAGAGCAATCTCGGCAGACGAAGATATGTTGTCACGTCGAGTTCGGCTGATGTACGAGAAGGGTGAAGACAATGTTTCCGACTCGGAGGTTGCGAAAGCAATGGCCTCAGAAAACGGAGTATTATGGGAAGAGGGCGCGGTCCCGGATTCTGAAACCTCTGAATCACTCTCTACGAATGAGACTGGGAATGAAACCAAACCAAGGGCGTCTGTCGAAGTGGAGCGTATCCGAATTAAGAGGGAAACCCAGGAGCTAGCAGGCGGCGCTGAATATTGGCAAAATGTCGGTGCAGAAGAAGTCGATCGTTATGGCTTCATTCGACCTGCAAAGAACTCCAATGGTTCCGAGATTAACCCGCTCCAGCGAGTCACGACTAGCCTTCTGCTAGCTTCTGAGACACCTCGGCGGAAACGTTCAATTCGCCCACCAACCGCTCCGGCCAGCAACCGTTCCTTCAATGGTCCATCTCTAGCCCGCAAAATATCCCACAGTTCCCTAAGCGCCCGTCCATCTTCATCACAGAGCAACTATGGTCCACCATTGCGCCGCTCGACGTCTCGTTTGCGTGCGGCGACCAATCATCTACCTCACAACCGAGACCGAAAGGCCAAAGATGAGGCGGCTGACATGCTCACTCTGCCCACTCCATCTGGTGACGAGAAAGAAGACGCACCAATTACTCGCGCAATGCGAAGGAAGGAGTGGCAACGTGAAGACAAGTGGACTAAGATGGCTAAGCCGACGAAGCAGAACAAGAATGGCGGTGGTATGACCTTTGAGTTCGACACTCAGAACTCAAAGTTGATCGAGCGAACTTGGAAAGGCATTCCAGATCGGTGGCGGTCAACGGCCTGGTACTCATTCCTTGAGGCTAGTGCCCGACGCCATAAGGGCAGTCCGCCTGCGGACGAGCTCATCGAAGCCTTCGGTGAGCTCCAGTTCATCTCGTCACCGGACGATGTTCAGATTGATATAGATGTGCCACGGACGATATCAAGCCATATAATGTTCCGCAGGCGCTATCGGGGTGGCCAAAGACTATTGTTCCGTGTCCTTCATGCCATGTCGTTATATTTCCCTGACACGGGCTACGTGCAGGGGATGGCAACACTTGCGGCTACGTTACTAGCCTACTATGACGAGGAACATGCTTTTGTTATGTTCGTCAGATTGTGGAAGCTACGAGGTCTAGAAGAGCTATACAAGTCTGGCTTTGCTGGTCTAATGGAGGCATTGGCCGACTTTGAGCGAGAGTGGCTCGCCGGAGGAGAAGTGGCTATGAAACTAGTAAGTGAGCTTCGCTCGAAACACGAAGAGTGTCTACTAACGCTTACTTTTTGCAGAACGAGGTTGGAATCCCACCCACAGCCTACGGCACTCGTTGGTACCTCACTCTCTTTAATTACTCAATCCCCTTCCCGGCTCAGCTTCGGGTGTGGGATGTCTTCATGCTCCTTGGAGATGCCGAAGACAACACTGGCCGTCCCGCAACCTCTGCAGGGAAGAACAGAGACCCCGTTCCTGAGAACCCAAGGACATTTGGCCAAGGTCTTGACGTCTTGCATGCTTCATCTGCTGCCCTTATTGATGGCATGCGTGAAATCATTCTCGAGTCTGACTTTGAGAATATCATGAAAGTCCTCACTAGCTGGGTTCCTATCAAAGACACAGAAATGTTCATGCGTGTCGCTAAAGCGGAATGGAAAGTCCATCGTCGCAGGAAATCCCCTTAATTATTCTTTCTCTGGTCAAGGCTTCGTTCGCGCGTTTGTCTTCAACCATGTTTGGCCAATCTCTTCACGGCCCAACCCCTTTTGCACCAATTGGCCCTATGGGTGTGCTATACCCTAATGACTGCAAGTCGCACCCTAGGGCCTTACTCTAATGCCTTTCACTCTATACCCTTTACTCCGAGGTCTCAGAGCGCGCTTATTTGTTGCCATCGTCTTGTTCTGATTGCCCTCTCACTTTACCCACGTTCCTTGCCTACGTAATTTCTTATTATTGTGCCTCCTCGGATACTAATACTTTTGATGACTGTTGATTCCCCGTCCGGCTTTTCTTGGACGATCGATACCTATTCTCATGCCCTATTTCACTTTCTTTTGGTCATTTCCTTTTATCCTTACCTTTATTCAATACTCTTGTACATCACTTTGGCGACTGGCTCCGAGTGTCATTTTCTCCTTCGCCGCCGCCCATTCGGTTCTAATCGTGTTTCACGGTCTGTCAAAGATCTGTAACTCATTGTCCTATAATTGGACTGCCCGAGGCGACATGGATCGAACCTATATAATCCCGGGGCTGAGAATACAATTTTATCTTATACCCAGCACGAAAAGCCGGCCGCTTATGCGGCCTTGTGACATTCTTTTTAGGTGTCTTTTTTTTTTTTTTTTTCTAGATATTTCCCTCCCTATTCATTTTGTGGTGGAAACGGTCTAAAAGGTGAAAATCGACGTATATGTAGCTAGTTATATATACCTACATACCTGATTTCCTGGGCTTTCCTTAGCCGCCGCTTTTATGAGGGCGCTCAGAGTCAGGCTCACTAAGTATACCTCGTACTCAATTTTGTCGGAGAGTCAATAGCAACACTGCCGTGGAATAAACGTACTGATAAGCTACCCTTATGGCGCCAAAACCATTGCGGGACCCTGGCGAAGTCTAGCGCGACCTCTACCATCTTAGCCCACGACACGTTGATAGACAAGTGGATAGACAAGTGCGTATCATAGTTCATATAGACACAGTGGGCCGAGCAACGTACAAACTAAATCCGATCAATCTCTGTACACATAAGCCCCCTTATACACCCTCGACATGCCTACGGCCTAGTCATCATGCACCTTGACCACGACCTTGCCACGCGCACGCTTTGTGGCGATACGCTCGTAGGCACATATGGCATCCTTCATGTCGAAGACAGAATCGACAGGGATACGCAAGTGGCCCTCCTCGACCAGACGTGCTAAGTAGACTGCGTCGTCACAAGATGGGGGCGTACTGAACATTATATAGCGACGCTGCACGCCGCCCAGCCATATAGGCAGCCAGCTGTTAAGCATGGCATTGCGCGCCGTCACATACATGCCCTCGAGAATGCCGATATTAACAACAGCTCCCTCGGGCTTGAGATAAGCCGGGGAGTTGACAAAAAGGGCTTGCGTGCCGACGCAATCAAGCACAAAGTCAAACGGCTTGTCGCCATACTGCTGCGCTAGGTAGGCTGGCAGGGATTCATGTTCGCGGTAGTCGATGAACTATTTATATATTAGACATTTTTCTTATACAACCTTGGAACGTTGGCAACGTTGCCTACCTCATCTACACCCAGATCACGAACCATGGGCTCGTTACCTCCGCTAGCCACACCGACCACCTTTGCACCACGCAGCTTGCACAGTTGCACAAGCACCGAACCAACTGACCCGCTAGCCCCATTCACAAGCACCGTGTGACCCTCACGCACACCTGCCGTGCGAATCATCTTGAGCGCGGTGCTACCGGACCCGATAATACCAGAGGCCGACGCCATCTCAATACCGTCATCGATACGTGCGACCTGGCTGCCAGGCAGTCGCACATATTCTGCCAGTACTCCGTGGCCCATGATCACAGCGCTAGGAATGTTTTGGAAGGCAATAACATGTGAGCCCGGATCGCGCAGCTCTGCCGGTGCACCGGCGCCAGCCGCTACTACCACGCCCGAAAGCTCAATCTCCGGGATCCACGAGCTGGTGAAAGGTAGTTTGGGTAGTATCTTCATTGTCATCTCACTGCTGAACTGTAATGATACGTTTGAGACGCGGATTAGCACGTCGCGCGACGAGCCCGTTGGCACGTCGGGCGTTGGATAATCGGTGGACAGCTCGAGCGCGCTATCAGCAGGACCGCGCCGCCGACGTACCCAGGCACGCATGGTCGGCGGTACGGTCGGGAGCTGGGTCTTCGATGGCATTCCTTCTCCTATTGGTGCGTGGTGAATAGATGAAGAGGGGGTAGTTCACGGTAGAACCAGGGAGATCTAGGACGTGAGAAATGTGGTTGACAGATTCGAAAGCTGCTATTCGAGAAGGAGTAGGCAAATCAAGCAGAACAAGTGTCTCTCGAGCCTATTTAATATAGACACTGATGACACAGCTTGAGAAATGAGAGAAAGGTAGGATGTTCCTGGAGGTTCGCCTTGTGCATTAAAATAAATCAAAATAAATGATTGGTAAGTAAAAGCGTGTACTGAGTACCTAGGTAAGCCTCAGGAGTCTGGTAGGCTCTAACCTCTTAGCATGGCGGCTCCGGGAGCCAATTTAGCCATGGCGAAAAAGACTTGACAAGAGGACCTCTAAGGTTGCCTTTATATGCTTAGGAGGGCTTTTTGATATATGCGTTTATCAGAAAGAAGAAGGAATGAAGTGGTCATCTTATTATCTACAGGGCAAGATTGTATTGTTTCCATTGGGCGTACTCAGTTGTACTCAGTGAGCAAAAAGCGGCAAGGGCTGAGCACTAATACAGAAGTATAAACATGTACCCAGGTAGTTATACACCTGTAAGCGTAACGGTTGATAAACAGTTTCAATTGATGATATCTCTCTGCTCTGGACTCAGAACTGTAACTTCAATGGTCCATTCTAGGAACTTTTGTATTGTAACTTCTAAAAACAATCTATAATGATTTCCATGTTTTCATCCAAGTAAACCCTTTCCAGCCTTGGCCCCCAGATTGCCCTTGTCAACATAATTCTCCTTCAGCCATTTCATGGCAGTGGTATCCATTTGACGTTGCTGGCTATACACAACCTCAATATTGTACACAGTATCCAAGCCAACAGTATCCATCATCAGACAAGGACCCTTGGTAGCCTTGAACCAACTCTTGAACATATCATCAATGGTCTGAGCATCACTGATACCCTCAGCCAAGACAAGCAAAATCTCCCGCTTAAGCGATGCCCAGATGCGATTGAAAATCAACCCAGTAGAATCACCCTGAGCATGCACAGGCTTGAACCCAGCCTGAGTAGCCTTCTCCATCAAAAACGGAAAGACGTCAGGATCCGTGTGGCCACACGACATCAGCTCGAAGTACGTCTGGTCCGGCGGCATGTAGTAGTGACCATTGCAGATGCGGTAATTTTTCTCCGTTTTGACGATCATCTGGCTGGACCGAAGGGACGATGAGTTGCTGGCGATTATGCAGTCCGGCGGGGTGATCTTGTCCAGCTCCGCTAAGAGATCGATCTTCAACTCCAGCTTCTCCGGGACGGCTTCGACGACCATCCATGCGTTCCCCGCGGCTTCTTGTAGCGAGGTTGTTGCTTTCAACTCGGCGGGTTCCGTGCCTTGCAGGCCGGCTTGTTCGGCTTCGTGTTCCTGGACGTATTTCACGGCGTTGCCGGATTGGAGCTCTTTCTCGCACAGGATTACCGTGAAGTTAGAGGCTATCCACATCATAGCGATTCGTCGGCCCATCACGCCACCGCCGATTACGGCGATTGGGCGTGTGCTTGTGTCAGGCCTGGTCCATGGGGTTGATGGCATTTTGCTTTGGAAATTGGAGTTTTTGTAGGTGGGAGATGGCCCTGTGAGATATGGTCTGAAGTGATAGTCATTGTGGCCACTTTTATCAAGGGAGAGAAGTTATGATGCTATGATGCTATGATGACTGAATGTCGGGTCTTTTCCCGTGATGATCTAACTCTGAGGGAGTACCTTCCATTCTATAAGGTCGGAGAACAACTTACAAGAAAGCAAGGAAAAGAAAGATTACGTGCCTTCGCGTGCTTGGTGATGCTTCCAACTCAGCCGTCAACTCAATTTCCGATCTGAGCCTATAGATCATGCAGCTATATTTAGCAACTCAATCGACTCATTCCACATTGATGTGGGCGCGAGGAAACCATTCACCAGCGCTTAAGATCTCCCATATTCTAGCGAGTTGTCACCGCTGTTTTCATGCGTGGTGCTGTGCTTTTCAATTGTGACTTAGGTAGTTTCCGGTCAATTCAGAGAGTGTCATGGAACAAATCGAAGATCAAAGTCACGGAATGGGAAGTTAGGTAATGGCTACTCAATCCAAATTATTATCTATAATGAGACGGAGAGAGCCTCAAGACTGTAGCAACTGTCTGAGAGATACCATCGGGGGTAAGCAGTTTTGCTCCGAGGCTGGTTTTGATATTGGCCTCTTAACAATGTCAGCTATTCGTTATCTTGTACTAAACTCGGTAGAGATTTCGGTGTCTAGGTCGTGGCAAGGTGTTGCCTGAATGGCAACAAGTCCGGATATCTAGGTCTTTTGAAGACGGGCAAGAAGACAGGTGATAAAACGAAGTCATGGAAAAGGTGAGGAAGTCAGGGAGGTTGGGAGTGAGTGACGGGAAGGAAAGAGCTATCTGTGACAGATACTTCCTTCCAACCTTGGGAGGTTGTTATCTTTTGCCTCATATTCCGAACATTCTAAGACTTTTGCTGGTATCTCAACCTAGGTACCTAGGTAATTGGTATGTATATACACCCATGGATGGAATGATCTGACTCTGAAGCTTGGAAGTGGTGGATCGAGATAAGGGCCTAAGACCTCAACCTTGGAACATCGTATTATGAATACATATTGTATGATACAACGCAACCTAGAGCCCTGAAGAAGGCTGTTCAGAATAAGCAGACTGTGCTAGTGTATGATGATTACCAGGTATTTTAGCATCCATGGGTTGTGCCGCCAGTAACCAGGGGGAAACAGTGTGCCCCCACGTTATGTCCCCATTATACTGACATCCATGGATGTACTGACATGTACTTCGTACAATATCCCTCGATCTATCACGCACTATGTGAGCGATTAAAGTGTGAAAGTCTCCAGCAACGGTACAACTTGCCACTCAAGATTGCTTTCGCAAGTCAAATTACCCGAAGCCAATCAACCGTTCAACCGTCAAGTGCCACCACATGTGTTATCAGAACACATTATTTGATGAAATGCTCGTATTGGGTGGTTTCGCGCGGACGCTCCTTTTCGACCGCCGATTGGGTTCATCCCAATGTAGTATACCCCTCATGCCAAGGGATGATCTCCCCAGTTTTCGGACTTACCCCGGTCACACTAAACCTTTTTCCAGGGATAAGTATAAATACTCGCGGAATGATGTCCGCACTGGTTGAATCTCTTCTTCTCTCATCTCTCTTTGCCTGTCATGGTTGATTCAAAAGATACACCGGAGAAGACCTCCCTACATCAATTCGAGGATACAACTGTCCAAGGTTCTCCATACAGCGCCGATCTCAAGAAAGATGGGCTAGTCGCAGATGCGGAAGCATCTAGCCTCGGCCCACCGACCTTCGAGGGGGTTGATGAAAAGGCTGTTCTCCGAAAGATGGACATTCGTCTTATTCCCATGCTGAGCATGCTATATCTGTTGGCATTCTTGGACCGTGGGAATATCGGCAATGCAAAGATAGAAGGGCTGGTTGATGATCTTCATATGACGGGACCGCAATATAATTGGACTTGTATGATGAATCCCTTGGGTTGCTTGTTTTTACAAAAGAATTGCCAGTTGACATCTATTCGCGGGCAGTGACTGTCTTCTTCTTTACCTACTGCGTCTTTGAATTGCCGAGCAATCTGCTTCTAAAGAAGCTAAGACCCTCGAGATGGCTTCCTTTGATCATGGTCGCCTGGGGAATTGTTATGGTGAGCGCGCGCATGCTTTAAGGTTGTCTCGAACGAAATTTAATAGAGACGTTGCAATCAGACCCTGATGGGAGTTGTCAACGATTACGGTGGATTGCTCGCAACTCGATTGTTTTTGGGCGTTGCTGGTATGTTTATGTCTTCCCCTCCTCCCGACCTGCCTCTGGTTCAAGTCAATACTAATCATTGGATGAAACAAAATAGAAGCCGGTTTGTATCCAGGTGTGGCATACTACATTACACTCTGGTACCCACGCCATCGAGCACAATTCAGACAGGCTCTCTTCTTCAGCGCTGCCAGTGTTGCGGGTGCATTCTCGGGACTTCTTGCATACGCCATCGCTGTAGGTGGTCTACTCGCTGACATCAGTGGGGACTTTACTAATGTATCTCCAAATTAATAGAAAATGGACGGCGTGGGCGGATATGCTGGCTGGAGATGGATTTTTATTCTCGAGGGTCTTCTTACGGTTCTTGTGGCACTTATAGCCCCATTTGCCATCCACGACTCCCCGGAAACTGCTACCTTTTTGACTGAAGAAGAGCGTCGGTTTGTGATCTACAGTTTGCGGATTCAAAACTCAGCAGACGCGCGCGAAATTGATCAAACGAATGATAAATTCGAAATGCGCTATGTCATTGATGCCTTCGCAGACTGGCAGATTTGGTTGGGTCTATTCAGTAAGTTCTGTTTGCTTTGGGGCATTCAATGCATCATTGACTGATCCGTGCAAAGTGTACTGGGGTATCACCTGTCCGCTGTATGGCATTTCTCTTTTCCTTCCTTCGATCATCAAGGATCTAGGATATAAGTCTTCGACTGCACAGCTCCTTACTGTAAGCTCTATGTGCTACTTCCTTGCTGAAGCGGAGATTAACATCGTCATATTAGGTACCAATTTATATCACCGCAGCAATTATCGCTGTTATTGCAGCATGGGTATCAGACAGACGCAAGCAGCGTTCCCCATTCATTCTCTTCTTTATGGGCATGATCGGAATCGGCTTCATCATCTGTCTCGCATCTACTGGCCGGGGAGTCCCAGGTGTTATGTACTTTGGTATTTTTGTCGCGGTCGTCGGTAAGTGCATTCTAGTTACAAACTTCCGCATACAAATCTCCAACTAACACCAAATGCCAAAGGAATCTATCCAGCATTTCCTGGAAATGTCACATGGCTTAGTGTCAATATGGCAGGCGACTACAAGCGAGCCGCCGGCATGGCTATTTATATTGGACTAGGAAACCTGGCAGGAGGTAAGGATATCACATCAATTGGGGGTTTGAGATTCAATCTAATGCCCCTTTCTCAACAGCTATGTCATCAAACTTCTACCGTGCTCAAGATGCACCAAATTATATTCTTGGTCACTCCCTTGAGCTTGCTTTCGTTGTCGTGGGCATGATAGCGACTGTCATTCTGCGCATGGCATACCAGCGTATTAACCAGAAGCGGGATGCTATGGATCCTTCAGAGTATCCCGAGAATCCCGATTCACTGGGTGATCGCTCTCCGTTATTCAGGTACATGCTTTGAGATAATGCGAGAGCTGATAATTGGATGATAGAGATTATACATGCTGTCATTCACCTGGGCACGGGGACCTCGGGAATATGTTGGGACTCCGCTGCGTGCTTCTCTGGGTGCTCCCCTCATATAAACACATAAAAATAAAATAAAAACAGATAGAGTAAAATCTTCTATTTATCCTTTCCTCATCTCTACTACTATAGCCACATCTATGATAAAAAACACCAAGTCAGTCCAAATGTTGACCCTACCCTGCTCGGTATCTTCCGTCTAGGGTCCTATATCAATTAGAATCATTGACCCATCATGAGCATGACCGTGCATGATTTTGGCTGACACCGGCTCCACCGACCATTTCTGACGCATCCCTGTGTCCGGTGCCTATAAGTTGGATCTTTTTAGGATAATTTTGTATGAAAATTTGTATGAAATCTGGCATCATAATACTAAAATCAGTATAATATCTACTGAATCCCTACTTCTTACTATGATTATATGATAATACTGAATATATAGGTTGGTACATACATAAAATATAGCCATTAATCAGCTAATTTATACATGCTAAGACTATATTTATGTACAGAAATGGACTTTTGAGGGTTTTGAAGACTGGGGTCCATAGCCCACTGCGGGTTGGGCTGTGGGCCGGGGGGCTTGGGCCCATTTGTGGGCTATCGAAAGGTCTAGTCCTCGCTATGAGGTGTACCTAGGTATGCCTGCGAAGCTGCTAAGCAGGACTTCTACTCTCATATGTTCGGATTTCGTAGAGAACAGTGGTGCTCCCCCTTCCCTTTCAATATACACAAATGAAAGAAGCTGACTTGCAAAACGTCACCGCCAAACACCCAAATCAAGATGAGCGAGTTGAGTTGATTACTTATTTAGGGATCATAGCTTAGTTGATTGATTTAGCAGGTTCTTTCATTCCAAAAATAGACTGAATCTGTTCAGTGTCGGAATCAGTGGAAATATCAGCTTGACTACATATATTGGGGCCTTGACCATTGGCGTCTGCCTAGTGATTATTAGGTGAACTTTGACTTGGCTTGAAAAGCAACCTAATGATCTTATCAAAAGCAACTTTGGAACCTTTGGAACCCGGCGCAAGTAATTCGTCATATCCTCAGACCTTCCATTCGCAAAGCTTCAAAGGTTACTCACATTGTTGTTGCCCATTTTGTTTGTTTCGATCCTTTGACCGCCCTGGATACTCAGCCGCGTGTACACTTTGCCGCTCTGACACCTCTGATCACCCGCGAATCCCCCATCTTTGATCTTCAGCTCTTGTTTCCCCCCAGATTATTTTTGCTAGC